TGACAGTCATGTTCTGAAACTGACTGACAACCAAGCTATGCTGACTAGGGTTACCACAAAATTGCATAATATCGACAGTAGGCATACACGTATTATAAGCAGTAGACTTCAAAGATTCCTTCAAGTCTGAGACGAAACCGTTCCCTTTTTTGACATCTTAAGCCAACTTCCTTCATCTTAGACTTACTGGCAAGCTAAGAACTGAGTTACCTCAACTCCTGCTCTAGCTCTAGCATTCTGGACAGTTTATCCTCATTTGATAAAGCTTTATGATGGACGATGTGTGAACGAATATTAGAGGATTTTCAGCATGCTTAGTTACAAGATGTTTCCTCATACAGACCTTACATGTAAAGTAACAATCTGAAGTAAATCATGTGACGTAGTGTTTTTGCATGTGAAGAGGGAATGAGTTCTGTAGTTTTCCCTTTCATTTCTTTTAAGAATTGCATAGCGTCTAGTTAGAAGCTAATTAAATATGCGCGCGAGTTCTTGTAGTGATCATCTGACACAAGTGCACGATTAAAACAATAAGAAGTACCGGAAACTCTAAACATTTCCGATAGATGCAAATACTAGTAGCCCAGTGGCTTAAACAGGCCACCAAATTAGATGAAAAATCCTTATCACTACTATGGGTATAACACAAATCATGACAACGAACACAGAAATTTTAAAAATTTTCATCAGTAACTTCATCAGTTACAGAATCAAGTGAATCAAACCATCTGGCAGGGTTTTGTCCTTTTGTCTTCTAGTCAGACATCACCCAAAAGTAGGCCTGGATTCCAGTTCTTTGAGCATACTTTCCAGTTAAAATATACAGCCAAAATCACAAAATAATCCGGAAGGTATCCTTTGACCGCCCAAACCTAAATTGCAGAATTTGTATACTGGGCCAGATAAAAGTGAAGAAACTGAATACTAGACCAACCCAATTTGAAGTATTTGTGTTACACCCACTGCACATATAACTCTCTGAAGCAACGGAATCGCATTCTGCGACCGAAATTCGAAACAGAACCAAAAGATCCTAAACGGAACTGTACTGGTAACAGACTGTTGAAGAACTGCAAGATGACTCTCCGTTTAACAAATTTCATCAGATAAGCACAGTGCAAAACTTCCGGCATCCAGACACCAAGAACACAATGGCTGGATACAAAAATGAATCGCAGTTGACAAAAGTGTACATTCAAACAGGAAAAGAACGGCGCTTCGACTAGCTGCAAGCCGACAGAAAGGTAATATAAAGCAAAACTTAAATGTTTGAATGTGAAATTTCGGACACAATACTATGCGTGTTAATGGAACAAGGAGAAAGAGAGGGCTATCCAGATGCCTGAGTGTCAAAACAAAAATTAAAACATCTGCATTATCCATAGGCGGGCCTAACGTTTGTCTTATTAACATTGGGTTGGTTCAGTTTGACCAACTAATTTTGGACCTAGGTTTATTTTGGTGCAGCGGAAGGTGCACTACACGGTGATGAAATCTCTCTATATCCGATAGCTGGCGCGTCTAACGGTTGTTTTAAAGGAGCCCATGAGATATAGGTCTCCATGACATTGCTTGCAGCACCCGCAATGTTTAGTGGGAGACAGGAAGTTGGTATTTGAAGAAGAAATGCAAGGTTAATGCCGAATTTTCCAAAGCATAGGCAACAGATTCTCACCTTTCCCTTGCGCAATCATTATTCATTACATATAGAATGATGAGTATGAGATGACTCGTAGAAGAGCAGGTGTATCGTTCTAATATGGGTAGTGACTCAGTAGTTACAGAACGTGTGACCAACACTAGATCAGTAACTGCAGCACTGGTACAAACACGGATAGCCCAGGGAAAAATAGGTAGACCAAATGACAAAGTGTTCCGGGACAAGAAGCAGACCAAAACAAACGTGATTATTAGACCAATTCTGTTCGTGTCACAGTAATGTCCCTGGCCTAAACAGCCTCAAAAGTTGCATGGAAACGATTGGCTTATTCTTAGGCTATGGCAACTGGGAAGAAGTGCTCATTCAGGAAGCCGCCTAGTTACTGTGGTTGGTCGGCTCCCGGCTTACTTCCAGTTGGCTTTAAATAGAAGTAACGCTATTGGTTGCTGTGTAGCCATCCACCCCGCTAGAACTAAACTTTGAACACACCACTTGCTCTTAACATTCCCATGAATAGTGAAAGCGGAATATAGTAGTTATGGCTGTTCCACGATGTATTTATTAACGAAAGTATTATTAGAGTACGTGGATAAACAATGACGCCACAAAACAGGAACCGCGTTCTTGTTTCTTGACAATCCAAATAGGTGCAATGTGATCCAAACAGCACACACAGTCCTCAGTTATTAGAATACTATAACGCCTAGACTCACTACTATATACATTATGACACTAAATAAACTCTAAGGCTTCGCGAAAATACATGAAAACAACTAGAATATAGGCAATGTTTACTATACGGTTATATATATTGATAAACATTTATATATACATAAAAACATTACTGTTCTTTTCATGTTCACATACTTTCTCTTTCTGATATTCTGTTGCCGAGCGTACTCTTCTATATACCTCCTGGTCGAGGTCGAACAACCCTACATTTAAACTGAAATGACCATTTAAGTAAGTTCAAACTCAAATTCCATGAACGATCCGATGCTACCATTTGAGGACGCTGGCCAACATTCTGTACAAGGAGTGTTCTTGATCTGAAATAAAGAAGCAACTGCTTTTCAAACAGTTTTCAATGTATTACTCAACTTACATGTACAGTCTGCCATGCTGACACGAATGGTGCCAATGGATAGTCCTGGAAACGACCTCAGCCCCATTTCATGCAGTAAAACAATCCAACATGACCCTATCTAGTTTTCGTGTCCACGATCAAATTTCTTTCCTATTACAAAACTATGATAAGACTGCTGAAAAAAATGAAATAAATATAACACTGATCTCAACATAATACACCAACAAACTTCAAGTCAAGGATGCTGTTCACAACAAAGTTATATAGGAGAATTGACTTCAAGCTTTATTTTTCCTAGATATTTGTATTACATTCATCTGATGTCTGGGTTTTTTGTTAATGCGAAGACAATATTTCTATATCTCTTAATGCTCTACACAAAGAGGCTATTTAGCAGACTGTTCCGACTGACTCTAATGTCAGAAAGAACAACCAAACTGTAAATTCAGCATACATCGAAACATGTGTAATTTATATAATAACTTATCCATGCCTGTACAATTTTTATGTTCCTGCATAAACAGGAGTAAATATATATTAAAACAAACTCAATGGAATCACTGGGATGTGACCATCTTCTGTCAAGGAGCTGGCAGATCACAGTGTTACATTAGTGTCCCATTCATGCGGAGAGTTACTAAATGACTGGGAGAGTGTATTATTAACCTCACACATAAAAGAGGGTCTGAATGCACCCATTCAAATTACAGAGGTACCAGTCTTACTGGCATCTTGATAAACAGCCACCATGGTAACTCCGGAGAAAGAAACCTTTAATCCAGGGCATAGCATGTTATACGAGGACACTTTTCATCATGAGGGGGAGTTGACTCGACAAAAAGAAAACCACTGACGTTGCTTCCAAAGGTTTCAGCAAAGCTTTCGATAATATACCCGAAACGAAATTCTTAGTGAAATCGGATGGAGGAGTTCTTGTGGACAGGGAACAGAGAATCAGGCTCATATAGAAATTTTCTTCCTGGACAACGGTAATCAGTGTTGTACTAAAAATCATCGTACAATCAAAAAATCTGAAGGCAACCCAAGGATGGCAGAGGCATGCTCACGTTACAATTAAATCTCAACGGTCCACTGAACTGATTCAAAGAATGCATGCCCCTCACTGAACTGTAAAACAATGCACATCAACATTCAATTATCAGTGCATACGGCATAAACGGAATACCTTGCCCTTAATTTCAGACGCGTAAGTACATTGTTTTACTTTAATCACAACCTGATAAATGAATAGCACTGTTACAGAGTGGCGGCTGGTAGTTTCAGTTCCCTATGGGCACTACCCAGGACCTTTACTAGAATCACCACGTTCACAACCATATGTATACATATATGTATATATCCGGTGAGGTGAAAATCATAAAATTACATCTAAGCGGTCAAACCCTACCAAAAAGGTGATTCGTGTATTCCGGAAAGTGTGGAAGGAGGGTCAAAGTTGTGATTCCTTGTATGACTAGTCCGTTGTACGAGAAAGGGTTCAAAATGTCACCTCTTTCCTTGCCACGGTCAGACAGGTAACTTGCATCATGATGTTCGGAAACTCGGGGACCTGTTCTGTGTTTTCCATTTCACAGGGGTAAAGCACGTTGGTGGAAATGGCAGAAGAATTCAACATCCAAAGAGGAACTATGTTGCAGCAGGGTGAAGATTCTTCCACAGAGTCATAAAATCTTAGAAACGACTAGCAGCAGAAGTGATATCTGCACATTTCATCTTCTCGTACAGGCACAGATACCTATTAGAGTAGGATCAACGCACATTTAAAGTCTTCTATCCCCACCTAGGAGTCTTAAAAGGTCTAATTTGAAATATGACTTAGTTTTGTCTCCTATAAGCTATTGCAAATATATGCTATCCCTATTTCACTGCCTATTTTAGACAAATATCTTGAACCAGATGGTGAAGACAATTTATCTCTGGGGCTGCATATGTTGCCGGCTGGAAATCAACCCATGGAAGCCAAGTTTGCAATTTAATTAGTTTTGTAAGTGATACAAAATTAATTGGCGCTAATAGATACTGCTCTTCAAATTAACCGCTCAGCTTTCGAAACATCAAAAATTGTAATGGAAATCTAAAAAAGTCAAAACTATTTATCTTATTATTAGCTTAAAAACCATTAGATTAATTTTTGTTTCATTGGTTGGGACGTTACTTCGTCCCTTGGCGCAACTTGTTTCGTTTGTGAACAGCTGTCCCCGTGGTCTTCGAAATCTTGCGTTGAGTGATTCTATGGACCAGTGCGAGGTTTACTCAGCTCGAGGAGGTGCCTTGGAAGCGACAGTCACTCTTCCTAGAAGGTATAAAGGCTAAAAGATTTTCTCTTATCTTCCTGCCGATGGCATGGCCTTAGTACCAGGTGGTCATCGTTGTGATTAAGGGTCACTGCACTATTTTCCCTCATTTTCTTGGGACAACATGTTAAGATTTAGATTTCCTGTATGCTTGGCAAAGATTAGGGTTTAATTTTATTTTACTGACTCCTAATTAACTATTCATCACTCACACCCCAAAATCTATAGGTTTTTTGTTAATTATGGGAACGCGTGCTTATCTCATATCATTTGATTCAGTTGTGAAAAGTACTGCATTAGCGGGACTCAAAACAACCTTCTAGGCTTTAAAACTTCCATTCTCAACCTGAAATTTGTTTAAATTTTATCGTGAAACTATTTGCCCACTTATATTTCAGGGTTTCTTCCAATTTCTAAACTATGTTGTGTTAAATAGTGTTGTTAGGTAAGAATAAGGCATCTTAAATGACTGGTAGAGTTCGTATGTATTCCACTCGACAACTTAAACAACCTTTTTTAGATATTCTGTACACCTCTAGGTGTAGGGAGGCTTGAAGTAATTTGGAATATGCACATGCTGAGATAAACTGATAAGAGATCCAAGTGCATGAGATTTACCGCTGTAATAATAGGTGTAGCGAACTTTTTCAGAGACAAAAACTATCCTACATTATAGTAGCTGGAAGTAATAATAGGCTGTACAAGAGAATTGTATTATTAAAATTAAGTCTCCGTAAGTATCATGTGATAGTATTACAACAGTCGGCTTTTAGTGCATGTGAATGCAGCCCAGTAAGACGTACATTTAATTGATGCCTTATTAGATTATCTGATTTCGACCCTTCGTCATATGCTGTGGGATGATTAACCAAGTGTTATCACAAGCCTTCACATATTAAGGTAGAGTCAGCTTTATCCATTAACTGGTTACTTTTTATACATGTGATACATTTGTATGTGCTCTGTTATACTCGATTTCTTAGAAATTGGACTACATAATCCGCCATATGAAGTTAATATTTTAGACAAAGATATGAATATTATACTAATATCTCTAACTAATCCGTTCGACCCTGTTTTACTTTATCATCTTCCTTTTAGCCATGGAAAACACAAACGAGACCAAGGAGAACTAATGGACGATGCGGTGAAACTAACTGCTGTAAGTCGACTTATTTTATGCTGAAATGAATGTTACCAGTTAGTTTGCATCTTTTGGCTCCGTCGTATTTTTATGACCATCAAGCGTGAACTCTGAACTTATAATTTATGAAAAGACTAGCAAGTTTACTCCATAGGTGATATCTGGTAGAGCGACAAGATAAGTAATGGTGCGGTTATATCGGAAAAGAAAGTCGATTCTCCCTATCTGTCTGAAATTAATCTGTAAAATATTCATACCTGTCGTTTTTCATGATTGATTCATTACAATATATTTATCAGTCACATATTTTCCAATCCAATCCGGAGTATATATATATGTATATATATATTTCACTATGTGGAGCACTCAGCTGAAGAGTTTTACTAAAATCTGATGAATTCACCAAGTTCTGCGTTGTAAACATATCTTTGTTTTAAACTAGTATCAAAAAATACATGTTCCCAAGGAAGTTAGCTGATGGAATTGTGAAACTCTACCGGCTGAGGTGGCCTTTCTCGACAAGTAATTTCAAGTGAAATAGAAATAAGTCAGAAAACTGTTTGGATTGGTCAAATAAAAGCGTGATACCGATCAATATGTAAAGTGTTATTGATTGCTTGGCTGGAATACTGCTTAGTATAAATATTTTGAGATTCTTTGTGACATGGTTCGAAATCATGTCTTTTTTCCTTATCCAGATTTTAAAAATGCTCACTAAACTTCATCGGGTCATTCTGTTTCTTGTACATCTCTGTCGTTTGTGGTTTCATAGCATTTCCTTATTCTACTGTTAGTTGCTTTCCTGAAGTTCGGCAACTTGGACTAACGTACTTCTGGTCAAAACTGTTAGTTAGCCCTTTTTGATTGGTTACTCAGTTGTCTGTGAACTGAAATTATCCGGAGTCAGGTAGATAATTCTTTTTCTTGAATCTAATGGAGATCTTATTTCGGTTTATTTCCCAGCTGACTAGTTTAAAATAATCGATTCAAGTCAGCCAGTGGAATTGTAAATCTCTGATGACTACAGTGTCTAAGGGGATATTTATGTCTTTCCACTAACTACCTCAGGAGACTTTTTACTGGAGTAGGATTATTTTGAGGAAAAAGATTTTTCAAAGCCATAAGATAGCACCAGTCTGTAAAGTTTGCTGGAGTGTTATTTCTTTGATTGCTTGAACACTTTTATTTTTTGGCATCTACGAAGCACACGATTTATCTTTGTGGCTCTTTTAATACGTTTGGTGTCCAGATGTGAAATATCTGTCTGTTTTCAATGTAGAACTTTGCACCGATGTGCAGCAGTTCATGTAGCACACAAAGCAAGAGAAGAAAGTAAAAAGAAATGCAGGGGTATGAGACAAAAGGAATAGTAACAACGAAGACCAATATAGTTTCATTGGGTATTATAAATCACAAGGAGAGGATGCATCTGCGCCATTGAGAACGATTAGTTTGAGCCATATCACCGATTGTCTCCAGCCATTGGTTTTTACCATACCGAGGAACCCAACCAGTAAGTCTACATCTTCATACGTGGCAAGCTTCAGCTAACTTTTGTGGATTTTATTGACTAGTGCCATGTTTTGGTTTAACCGCCGCTAGCTCTTTTCCAGTCTAACCCCTATATCAGCTAACATCGGCCGTCGAGGAAGGCGATGGCTAGGCATACGTAACACTTGTCCTAACCATCTCAGTCGATGTAATTTCACAGCCTCGTCGATTGGTTCCCCCCCCCCCCGTCTACCCAGCACTCGACGCCTAACTTCACTATTGCTTACCATACTATACCACTTCACACGGGAGATAGAACGCAGGCACCTATGATCAAAGACAGCTAGCCTTTTCATGTCTTCCACTCTCAATGGCCAGGTCTCACAGCCATAGATGTAAAATATAATGAATTAGTGTGTTGTACAGTAATGCTGGTTCCTATTTGTTTGACTTCTGGTTCCCTAGCGGGAAAAAACCACTATCATGCATTTTATTAAATCAACTTAAAGCCGTCTAGACTAAACTAAATAGCTCAGTTTTTTAATGTTCAGCAGACAAGTACTAAAATCCTTCCCTAGATTGTAAATGGTAAAATGATATAGCTCACACTGGCATTTATTATATGTAGATACATCAACTAGGAGTTGAAAGTTTGATGTAAGTTTTAGCGGTTATTAGGGCCAATAATATGGCCTGGTCATCTAAACTATGACCGTTGGAATTTCATACAACGGGTTGCCTTTATTAGTGTAAATAAAGAATGAACATAATTGGCACGATAGTATGTGCTCGTTTTACTTCGTGGATTCTCGTCAACTGCGTACATCCTTAATAAATCAATTATATGTTACAAAATAGTTTCTGAACATACTTTTTACAGTGATTTCAAGTTATGAAGAGGAAGTATAAGCAACATAGCTTCAAAGATGATGAAGGTAGACAATTATTTAGTGTTAAAAGGGTAACGATTTATATAATAATTAGACAAAGGGGTGAAGTTGAGATTTTGCTTGGAAGCAAGAATGGACTGGAGACAAAATACAAGATAGAACAACAGAGTTAATTTTTACATATGTTGCACAGTTCAGGAGGGCGGGCGTGGATAGTAAAGTCAAATTGTAAAATAGGTAAAATAATTTAATTTAATAGATTTGGAAACTTAATAGTGAGTTCAACTCAGTGAGTGAAAGTCAAAATCAAGATCGAGTGGGATGTTATGCAACAGAACAAAACACAAGCACACGAACAAAACAATTATGGTTACTAAGGTAGTGAGAGATTAGTCACGCTGTCTTTCTGTATGCATAGGTTGGTCCGAAGTCTTTTCATGATAATGGCTTATGCGAAACTAAGTATTCATGCTTTTCTCTGTGCATTTATCATTTTGAAGGCCTGACTAATTTCCACTGTATGTCCCGTGTCAGTCAATTAGGTGTCTGGCGATTACGCTTGAGAACACTTTGCTACCTTTCAAAAGGGTACTTTTAGGGATATGCTCAGAGAATCTGGTAGACGCTCTCCTCTCATTCCTTCCTATGTACTTGCTGCCACAAGTGCAGGTGAATTAGTCAATGCAGTTCGAGTTGACACATGTACAGGATACTTATCTACTTTTGACTGGGTTAACGAGCATGCTGAGTTTCAAACCGGAATTTGACTAGATCTGATCTCAAGGTGTTGATGCATTTCTGAGATAAATCAATATGCGATTTGCTGATGTGACGCAGATTCTTTTGAATTGGAGGTAATTTGGTCGATCTGACAAGTTTCAGGAACTGACGTGGATACTAGTCTGTCTCGAGACACTCCTCATAAAACTTAATCCTTGAAATTCGGGATAAGTTTCTGATCTGCAAACAGCTGGTTAAAACTGAAATATTTTATTGCAGCTGACTTACCCAGAACAGAGCCACACCTATCTTATGAGGGCTGGTTGCCCAGAATGAAGTTGGGGGGCTGGGTGGGAATCAGACCTGAGACCTATCAGCTGAGAGCCAAGTGCTTAATCCAACTAACCACTTCTTTATATCTTTAGTTTGATGAATTTAGCAATCATAAGTCGAATAGTTGGTTCCATAACTGGTATCATATTCTAATTATAATTGCATAACATCTTACCTATTTCGACGTATTTAGATTATATATATATATAGTAGACGTGATATCGGGCTGGCTGTGGACCAAAGGGCGATTGTGCTGCTCAACAGTTCTCTTCGTCCTCCTCCTTTATGCCTGTGAGTGGGACATGGCCATGAAAAGTGGAGGATACGAAAAGGCTAGCTGTCCTTGATCATAGGTGTCTGCATTCTGTCTCCCATGTTAGTTGGTATAATAGCGTGAGCAATATTGACGTTAGGCGTCGGTCGAGTGCTAGGTAGGTGGGAGTTTGCGAAGTTACGTCGATTGACATGGTTAGGATATGTGTTACGCATGTCTAGCCATCGCCTCGGGATGTTAAGAACAGATGAAGGCTGGAGACAATTGGTGCTATTGCTCAAAATGGTTCTCAATGACTGGCACAGATGCATACATTCCTCGTGACTCATAATATCGAAAAAAATTCTATTGCTCTTCCATGTTACTATTCTTTTTCCCTCACTCACACCTCTGTTTATTCTTTTACGAGTTGATCACGGACTGATATCAGTTAGAGAACCATTGAAAACCAAGGAGTACTGGACAGCTGCTGTTTCATCCTAGTTTGGGAATCATCGGCAGTACGCGCCCACTGGGATTCGAACCCAGGACCTTCCGGTTACAAGGCAAGCTCGTATACCATTCAGCCACTGGGACCCGATTCAATGGCTCATGAATTCTAACTTCTACCAATTCGTGATTTTAGCGCGACCCCAACTATTGTCGTTGGTGGAAATCCATCCACACGTGACTTCTAATTGGACCTCACTGGTCACGACTTCTCACTAGAACTGCAGGAAGCTCCAACCTGTAGCAAGTCACTAGCGAGCATCTGTTTATTCTATCTCTTTCTCCTTTGAATCTGTCTTTACTCTCTTCTTGTGCTTTGTGTGCTACATGGAGGGAGAGTGTCAAGTTGAAGTGGTGCACATCTGTGCAAAGTTCTACGTTGAAACCAGTCAGTCAGTACCTGGCTGGCAGTGTTTATGAACACGTAGCCACATGTAACTACATTTTGAGAGGAAGACAGAAGTCTATCCACCCTCGATCGTACCATGAGAACTATTGTAATCGTATGACATGATTTGTATAGTGATTTGATAATTTGTCTAAAGATTACCTCGCCTGATATATTATGGTTGAGAAAAACGCTCCCGCCATTAAGTAGATTTAGTTTTCAAGGAGCATATTCACACTATAACTCGCATAAGTAATCATTGTAATTGAAGTTTGATTACAATTTTCTTCATTTTATCCTTTTTCAGATGAAAATATCACGCCAATCACCGTCGACTTCAGACAGCATGACAACAGCCACTAATTCTGAAACAAATGCCATGAGTGTTTTACCTCGTCTTCTTCGTACTATGACGAATAGAAATCCACAGGTCACAAGTAATGGTAACAACAGAAGCACAATTGAAAATAATCAAGTCTCGAATGAAGAGCTCGCTTTCTCAGTTTCAACTTCTGGACCAGTAGTCAATGATAGTGATTCATCATCCTCTTCTTCTTCATCTTTCATTTCAACACCATCTTCTTCTGGATCCTCTTTGATTTCATTCCTTTCTCCTGGCCATTTAGGACCTGTTGCTGCTATGGCCGCTGTAGCATTATCCACAGCGGTGACCACTATGTCTGTGAATGATATTCAAGAATCTTCAGGATTAGTAACTTTAGCGACTGCAAGTAGCCTAATCGAGAAGGAATGGCGTGCACGTGCTGCAATTGCTAACAATGAGAATGGTAACAATGCTAAAGAACACGCTGAAACAACACTTGCAGTTCAACATCACACAGATCTATTAGCTTCTACTATACAAGCAAATGTTGATCGAAATCAACAATTCCCGTTAGATGGTTCACCTCCTTTAGTAATCAGTGCCCTGAATACGTCAACATCACAATCTTTATTGAATGATTCTACCCCAGTGACTAGAGCTGTACTCAATGTTCAAAGTAAGCAGAGTGTGCTATCTATATACTTCTAAGGTTGTCTTTTTTGTATATCTCATATAGATTATTCAAAATGACAAGCTGGCATTTATATGTGCGTTTTAGCTAGCCTGAAGCTGAAATATGACGTCCAGATTTTTTAAATTTATTCCTTTACGTCCCCAGTGGAACATAGTGGGGCTTCGAGCTAGAGGCATGGAGTTTCGGTAACAGTGGTATTTATTTTGATGGGATGGCTGGCGTTGCTAGCTACTAGCCTCATGTCCAGCCTTCCCTCTTTACCAGTCTTATTACTGGCTTAGCGAGGTAAAGGAGTGCGTCGGTCGCTGGGGATCGAACCCCAAACCATATGTGGCGTGGTTGGCGAGCATTCTACCGCTGTGCCACCGACGCACATGACATCCATATTAGTTATTATAATGCTAGATGATTGCACATACATACATGCATACATATACACAACTCACGTGCGTTCACAGAATGCGTGTATCTATTTGACAAAGTGTACAAATTTATTCAGATGTTATTTTCAACCTTGAAAATGCTCATATTCTTATCTCAATATTTGTTTTGTAAGTCTCAATAATATCGTGTTTTGGTGTACATATTTTTTTCTCTCCCCTGTCAATGAGGGAATTCACTATTAATATTTGCTTAATTTCAACTTTGATGTCTCTGTCGTACCGTTTTGCTAAAATTAGTATTTGTCGAAAACTCAAATTCTAGATTGTAAGCCTCAATCAATTTTGTAGGAAAGAATTCATAGGCGTACGTGCCTCCTTGAGAAATGTACTGCCTAAAATTCTTAAAGCGCTAAAATCTATGCAATATTTCAATTGGTGGATGGTGACTAGCAGCGGAATCCACTAGGATGCACATTTCGTCCTACTTGGGACTCGTCAGCCAGTGGATGTACCTACATTCCCCAGTGAGTAGTGGATGATGTTCCCAATGAGGCTCGAACCCAGTGCCCATAGTTTCAAACACCAAAGCGTTATCCACTAGACCACTTGGGCCACGAGAGCCAGTTCTTGTGCGACGGATCATATTAATTATTTAATTCAATTTTAGATTTTCCCCTCGCGATTGATTAGACCGAAGTGCTCGGTCTCAGGTTGACATGTGAGCGTTTTGTGCAGATGCTTCGACGATGTTTTGTCATGCGACTTGAAGTCAGTTGGTGGCTGGTAACTAGCAGTGGAATCAAGCCAGGACGTTCATTTCATCCTATTTGGGACTCGTCAATTGGATGCGCCTGCATTCCCCAGTGAGACCCCCTGAGACCGAGTACTTCGGGCGAATCAGTCAACGGGAAACTCTAAAATTCAAATAAATAACTACGTAATATTTATTAAATCTAATTTCGGAAACTTAAATTTTTCAAATCACAAAATGTGCTCTGCTTGTTACCAAAGGAAACTGGTGAGATTTCATCTCTTCAAACTGTGTAAATTGCAAATTGAGGAATTGATGTACGAATGTACCAGTTCGCAGAAGTAGCTTGCCAAATATCGAGGAGTTTGAAGTGATTCGGCATTCGGAGCTGAGTCAAACCCGGTATACAGCTGATGAGCTTGACCCCGCTTTGACGAGCGAAATGGCCGTCTAGTGTCTAGATCACTTCGATCTGGCTAGCAAGCATTACTGGTTAACATGAGTACTACTCACCTCAATCAATCAGTAGTACATAGTTTTAAGTGATATTTATTAATTATAATTCTATGAGTACGCTTCAAAGGTAGAAATCACTAGTACCAAAATCTCATAAACACCAGAGATGTGGTATGTACATTCGCGCACCACCTCCTGTTGATGGAATATCCGACTGTCCTTCAAAGAACACGTGTGCTACTCCGCCTCTCCCCCCGACCTCATGTTGGTCATATATCTTTAGAAGGTGAAAGGTGTTAGGTCATGGTTTCCTATCATGAGTTAGCCCACAAAATTACGTGTGACGTAAAAACAGGATGAGCAGTGCTGAGATTAAGTGTAAGACACTGCGTAAAAATACTGGCTAGTCGAAGAGGTTGTTATTCATTATTGACTGAGTTGAGATGCGTTATGCTTGCCAAGCCACAGCTGTAAATATAAACCATTTAAAGAAGTATAGTCTATCTGTTAGTTGCAATTTACGACATAATCAAAATCATAGTAATATGAAAATTCTCAAAGTTGTTTACAGTAGGGCAAATGTATCCACCGATTGTTGAGATATTCTCTTTTCTGTGGAAACTGTCCTCTCTCTCTGTGTTCTTTTCGAACTGATTTCTTATGAGACAGAGACTTGTGTGACATTCTAATTGTTATCCTTAGTGTGAATTGGACAATTACTGAAGACATGAATCGTCTCCTGAATGCGTTTTACGGACTTATTCTCCCTGTAACTCTTTCACATTGTCTTAATTCGGTTGGTTGCTTTGCTGAATGGCTAATCTACTTTTTATATTCAACCATCATAATCGGTTTCCTTGTGGTGACACGTTTTTGAAGCAGATCTTGATTAATTTGTGGTCTTCTCATCTTCAGTTTGGTGAGGAACTAGTAAATACTTGACTATTGCTTCATGCCACAGATGTTTGGTGAGTAATATTGAGCTTAGGTGTAGAGTAATTCTAGGTGAAGGAGGGAAATCAGTCGATCAACTTGTGAAGTTACATCTATTGAGATGGATAGGACACGTGTTGTACATCCCAAGCCATCGGGTTCCTTGGCAGACAATATTACCCTGACATAAGATTAGGCTGGAAAATAGTTAGGAGTAGTCAAATCAAAACGTTGCAGAGTTCAAGATTTAACATGCAAGTTGCCATTGCTTCTGTGGGGTTTGAAGAAGTTTGATTTGTACTCTTTTAATGAGATTCCCACATTTTCTGTAGATAACTTTGAAGTTAGTTTGTGTGTTAGCTTGATGTCCAGATATGATCAAGTGTTCCAGGATAGAGATGTGGTGAGGGGGGGGATCTTTTTTCTCCTTTATTAAACCATGACTAGGGGTGAATTGTTCTATGATACGTCTGGATAGCAAACAATGGGTACGGTCGACATACTTAACTAGCTCCACTCCAGAAGGTGAATTGGTAGATGCACATTGATGAGGCCAAAAGCTGTAGCGCTTATCCTTCACATTCATGCGAATCATTGGTTTTGTTGAGAAAGTTTTTCGAAGTTAAGCAGCGAGGAAGGCTTTCTTCAATGAATGGAACAGGTGCTTTCTCAGTATTCCTGCTGATGACTCTCCGCTGAATTGTAGTTTCGAATAGAGAAGTTTTTTTTCGGGAACAGAAAGTGTATGCGATTTCAGTGGTTTAGGCTTCGTGGATTTCGTGATGAAGCATTCAGTTTAGCCATTTTCGAGGAGGATTCTTTTCAGAGTGTTCAGCACCTCTTCCATAGTGCCATGGTTGCAAATGCTGCGGATTGTATGACTCAGTGAACGTATCAGGTTTCGTTCTGTGTATTGGGGCATCCGACTATGAAAGTTAGTCAGTTATCTGTTCCATTTCGGTTATCTATAGATGAATGTGAATACAAAACGTTTATTGAATGAATAGGGATATTATTATCATATCTGAGAAGCGATCATCAACCGATATACGAAATCCGTTCGTTGTTGTTGCTGTTAAACTCAGTTTCTATTGATTTTTGTGCCGGGAAGAGCATCTTACATTCAGATAAAAAAATAAAAGCATAAACTACTTTATTTTAAACTCTAAGTTCAGTGTAGTGTATATGCAATTCAAACAGAAAACAGCAAAATATTTATTAATAGATTTTTAAAGAAATTTTTGACAATTATTTTATTAAAATGCCAAAAATATGAATTATATCAACAACAACAAAAAAAATAAATAAAAATAAATAACAATTGTCTTGCACACATATATTTTTTCTGCAGGTTTGGCAGCTTTCATTCGTGAAACACAAAAACAATGTTCTCTACCGAGTCCAACTACTTCTCTTGAATTGCCTTTAACATCCGTATTTCCCTTGCCTACAGAAACAAAGTTAACTTCATCGTGTAATATGCGACAAGCTGCATCGCCTTCTTCATATCTGTTACCAGCTTCAACCTCATCTTTTCTAGTTCCACCTTCAGCTCCTCAAAATCTTCCAACTGGTACTGGTGCGGGTGGGGGTGGTGGTGGTGGTAGTATTGAACAATCTTTGCATTCAGAGACAGTACCGCAACCAATACCGTCAGCGGCAGCAGCAGTGGTCAATTCCAGTACAGATTCATCACCACTTCAGTCAACAGCCTTCATATCTTTACAACCTGCACCAGGCTCTTTAATCAGTCCGTCTGATTTACAACAACTTGTAGCTAGCGGGGAATTTATGTCTTCAGCAGCTCGGGTATGTTTATCAATTTTTTACTACAACTTTTTCGTAATGTATGCTTTTGAATATGTATTACTTTAAATTAACAAATGTCGGGAGTGTAGACCGCTGAAATTCCAGTGATATGATGCGTGCAGTGTACTGATTGTAAATATCAATCTCGATTTAAAACCAACTCTTTGTGTCCTCATTGTGATGGGAGGATGTAAGTCGGTTAGCTGGTTGTGAATAGATTCTCGAATTGGAATCTCTGTGTATCTATTTCACTCACAAGTTTTCGCCGGACGTGGAACTTGAATCCGAGTGATGAGAGTACCTCACTCTCAGTGCCATTGAGCTTCACACTAGACAGACAGATAGATTAAGAAAAGGAAAGCCTTCATACATAACTGTTCTTTAACCAGTGTCTTGGAGAAGTTTTGACACGTTTTTCATTGATGATCTTAAATAAAGTTTAAGAATTTCACTCTCTATGTGATGTTGTTTAGATCACTGACAATGACACGTGAATTAAAGTTCAGTTGTCTGAAGCCCTACTGACCTACATTTTAATTTTGATCTAAAGCATCATAACTGCGTTTGTCTTCACTTTTTTTCCAAGGTTGGTTGGGTTTCGGTGTAGGTTCAGTCTTCTCTGCTCCTTTGTGAAACCTGGACTTTCCTATCTGACGGACGACACGCAGCGACTCTAAGTATCCGAACATCTCTCTCTCTCCGTAGAATTGCATGCGTCTGATAGCATTGTCGTGTAGGTAATTCCGAGACCCTGCAGCCCGTGTTTGGATGTAGTGGAGATCACCGTTCATTGACTGTCGTCATCTCGAAACACTGACTTCAGTGGTTTGGACAAGTGCTACGAGTGTCATCCCAGAGGCTTTCGTATCACTCGGTATTTGTTAGCCCTGGGACTGAATGGTAAAAGCGGAGACATAGGTGGTCAGCCCGTAATGGGGTGCCGTAAGATGAGGGATATATGTGTCAAGTTAGTGCATCGGTTGGTGCATCACCACTCCCTGGTTTGAATTGGCGGCTACCGGAGACTTTATCAGATATGACCAAGAATCGGAATCAACGGTGAACATGCTGTAATCTCCTTCTTTTTTCTCTTCCTGAAAGTAGAATGAAGTAATGATTGTTGAATGATCTTTACAAGTAGGTTTGCTTACTTGCTTCCTGGACGATATCCCTCACTCATCCTCTCCCTATTTTTGTACATTGTTATGTGGCGCGTCTCTTGATGCCCATACTGTACCAAGTTCGTTTCAAATAAATGTAAGTAAGACCTGGTAAAGCATGCTTTTTTAATTGTTAAGCAAAGGAATTGGCAATGTGTTTTGAAATAGTCGATGTTATTAATGTTGTATTTCGGCTGAACCGGTTGATTATTTGATTTTATTCCTTGAATTTAGCAAACTCTACTCGGTCAATCCTCTGATGGATCTACACGACAACTTTATCTTCTTGTACCAAGTGATTGTCCTGTGATTATGCCAAGAGTTTCAAATAATCAACAAACTATGGCGCCTATTCTACCGTCTACTTCTCCATTGATTGAATCTATTCCTACAAATGCTCCAATATTAGAGGCTATTTCTCCAGGTGTTGAACCTGATGATAATTGTGTTCAAATGCCATCTGAGTCATCAACATGTAATACTACACAACCAGTATTAACTTCAGTGTCACATTTAGCGACTACAATGCTTAATCCAATGAATTCTTCAACATCTACTGCATTATCCACTTTTCTGGCGGGTTTAGAAGCTCGGAATCAACCTATGCAACAACAACAGCAACAACAGATTCAACTAGGTGGGTTACCTTTGTCTACAGTCACCTCTCCATTGTCTTGTTCATACAATATTTCATCATCATCATCATCTTCATCCTCATCCTCTTCATCATCATCATCAGTTCATACTACAGATTCACTGTCAGCTTCAAATTGTGCAAAACTGCGTATTCCACTACAGATATCAGGTCTTCCTATTCCTGAGTCCAGTTTATTGTCAGTACAACAGAATGTTTATCCGATTGCAAATAATAATGCAGCAGCAGCAGCAAATTCTGTATTAGGTGTTGTGAAGAGTAAGTTTTACGCGGGGACGAATGATAAAAAAATATATATATGAGTATCTTAGTAGTTAATGAAATTACCCTAATTGATTGATTGATTTTTGGTGAATTTATCGACATGTCTCTACATCTGTCTGTCTGTCTGTCTGTTTTCGACATAGAACTTTGCACATATGTGCGGCAGTTCAAGTCGCCACAATCCATGTAGCACGCAAAGCAAGAGAAGGAAGTAGAAGAAGTGCAAAATATAGACAGTAAACAGAGGTGTGAGACAAAGGAATAGTAATAACGGAGAACAAAACAGTTTAACTGGAAATGATAAGTCACAAGGAGTGGATGCATCTGCGCCACTGAGAACGATTTTGAGCCATGTCGCCAATTGTTTCCAACCATTGGTTTTTACCATCCCGAGGGCCCCAACCAGGAAGTCTACATCTTCCTACGTGGCTTAGATTAACTGTTGTGGATTTCATTGATTGGTGCCATGTTTTGGTTTGACCACCGCTAGCTCTTTTCCAGCCTGACCCTATATCAGCTAACATTGCCCGTCGAGGAAGGCGATGACTAGGCATACGTAGCACATGTCCTAACCATCTCAGTCGAAGTAATTTCACAGTCTCGTCGATTGATTTCCCCGCCTTACCTAGCACTCGACGCCTAACCTCAATATTGCTCACCTTCTTATACCACTTCACGCGGGAGATAGAACGCAGACACCTATGGTCGAAGACAGCTAATCTTTTCATGTCTTCTGCTCTCAATGGCCAGGTCTCACAGCCATAAAGGAGGACGGAGCGGACTGTTGAGCAGTACACACGCCCTTTGGTCGATAGTCGGATATCGCGTCTACGCCAGAGACGGCGAAAACTGGCGAATGCGAGCCTAGCCCTCTGTATTCGTCTCTACATCTACATATATGGCCGCTTTTTTGATGAGACGTTTTGTTCGACTTTTAAAAACAAACTCACAAGAACAAAAGTTAGGTGTGTGGGTGTGCGTGTGTCAGCAAATAATTTCAGGAATTTGGTTTTTATTTGTCTACAGACGACTATGCGAACAAATGTTGTTCATCGTTGGTCTAACAAATAATGATGATAATCTTTTCACTGACGGTAACTCTTCGTTCCCAGCTGGATAACCATTGTGAACCAGGGAGTACTGAAAAGCTGTCTAGTCCTTGTTTGGGACTCTTCAGAAGTTCGTGTACCCATGACTCCACGAGAGGTGGAGTCTGGGACCTTCAGATTACTAGGTGAGCTCGTTGACCAATCAGTCAGTGAGATAAAATCAAATGGTCCATCGGTCACTACTGACTGACTACAGGAGGAAGTTGCTTAAAGTTTTCGTACAAAGTCGTGGGTGATCAGTAGGGTCCTCACACCAGATCGAGTGTGAGGACAAATATTCACGCCAAAATCGCGAAGGAACAGAAGTTAGAATTCATAGATACCACTAGGTTCTGTCCCGCAATTGCTGAGTAGTTGGAGCTCCTTCTGGTTTCGATCAACGGTCTTATGGTCATGAGTGTGTACTCTATCGAAGAATCCTAAACAAAGACGAAACAGGTGTTCAGTACTCCCTGCTGGTTTTCATTGGCTCTCTTATTGATATCAATCTTTGAAAACTAACTCTTAAAAATCAACTCTTTGTGTTTACTAAGTGTGGATTTAGTGTCTTAATTTTACACTCATACGTGTGATTATGATTAAGGATAATCGATAAAATTGAGAAAATCACAATCACATTTATTGTATTCCAGTTTCTTGACATCATCTGTTTTAGTCATGCACAGGTATTATTATTGTTGTTATTAAAACAATAACATGGTATATTATAGGTATTAAGAGATGCGTCACCTTAAATCTCATAGCTTGTGTGCAGGTTGGGGTGCTGCCTGGACGCCCAGACTAAAGGTGGCTGTCTTAAGGGGCGCTACCCCCTAGCCTTCGCCTTTAAGCCTAGTCTACAAGGTAGTGCAGCAGTTCAGTCTGCACCAAAGAAAGGACTAAACACACCATATTAGTTACTAGTGTCCAATCAAAGTATCTACTACAGTCCTACAGGAGGTCAATCGCGAGTCCGAATAGCTCAGTGGTAGGGTCTCTGACTTCAGCACTGGGTGACGCGGCTTTGAATCTCAAAAAGGATACGCACGAAACCTAGGTCCAAGGTTTCCCGCCGATTGCCTCCAACCATTTAGTAGTGCAGCAGTGTCAAGAGCTGCGTTCTCATGGGTGCTGATGACGGAAACATACGTCATACAACTTGTTGGAATTCTGGATCCCATGTACATCATAGCTTTGGAATTGAGGTTTCTTAGATCCCCTAGGTAGACTATCATGTTCACCAATTTGGTTTTAGGCACCAAACGTTCGTATTCGTGGTTTCATTTTTCTGAGGAACTCCACATTCGTGTGTAGCCAGTCAATAGGACTCACCTGGCTGGCAGTGGCTATGAATGCTTAGCTACATGAGTACATTTTGAGAGGAAGATCGAAGTCTGCACACCCTCGGCCGTACCAGGTCGGAGGCACTCATGCACGAGATTAAGAATCTGTTACTTAGAATACGGACCAATAAACGGTTTGATCATCCGACTCTGTGGTAACCTCGTCAGAGTATATCTGAAGTCCGTTCCAGGAGACTGACGCTCATGAAAATGAGATGTCATTGAAATCTCTAATCTGTGGGTTCTAATATGATCAAATGACTAGTGTGTCGGTTGAAGTTAGTTTTCCTAATTTTACCATCATTTGCATCTAAATAGAGATGTTAATCATGTTTCCTTGTATATATGGAAATTAGAGGTAGTTCTTTATGAAAAACCTTTTCTATGAAGGAATTCATTCTTAAACTGTACTACAATTGTATGCCTGCGATATAGCACTAATATTAACGCCAAATCGATATTTACGTGACAACAAGGTCAAAAACAATAGACAGATGATGATCTTATAAGTTGACCACCTAATCATCGAATAGCGTTCATTTTAGCTAACTAGACATAAAAGTGTGTGTATTTTTTGAAAGGTCAAATAAGGTTAATAGACGTTTTTGAAAGGAAAAGAAAAGAAAAGAAAAACGAAGAAGGCTCAGGATCAATCATTTTCCTGTCACCTTGTAATTAAGGTCAATTTTATACGTCATCAAATATCATTTATTTATTTAGTTCCAATAGGGTGTAAGCTTTCTTTATTGTCTTAATTGTGAGAATAATAAATACTTAAGTTGTCTGCCGAGTGTGTGGTGCTCAAATTGAAGTGATGTATGCGTATATATATATATATATATATGATAAAAATACTGTGCTCCAAAGTATTTCGCTGTGAACTTTTAGAATAGTCTGGAGATGGTTTTTCCCTAGTACTCTGATTGGACACTAGCTGTTAACTAGTGTAATGTGTCTAGTCCTTTCTTCGGTGCAGACTGAACTCTATCAGTCAAGTTTGTTATGTGGCCACCATGCCACTATTCGGCTTGATGTCACGGTGCACTGTGAATTGTTGGTATCAGATGGTTGGAGGCAATCGGCAGGAAGCCCTACTGACACCTGGGTTTCGTGCTTGTTGGCCTTCACTAACTAGTCAGCAAGACGTGTCTGTAATCTTGAAGGAGTTCATATGCCTCCTGAGACTCGAATATGTATCACGCAGTCCTGCAGTCAGTCAGAGACGTCACTACTGAGCTATTCGGGCTCCATCGCGAACTCGACTGGTAAAATTCAGTCTGCACGAAACACAGGACTAACCGCTAACTATTTAGTGTTCAATCGAAGTATCTAATACAGTCCTACAGGAGGTCAATCGCGAGGCTCAATAGCTCAGTAGTATCGTCTCTGATTGTAACACAAGATGACACGGGTTTAAACCTCAGGAGGGGCATGAGTTCCGTCAAGAATACACCTTACTGACTAATGATCGCCAACAAGCGCCAGACCTACTTTTCAGATAAGGCTTCCTACAGATTGCCTTCATCGAATAACAGTGGTTCACTGTTAATATTCAAGTGTTGGTTCGCAGGGGTTTGATTGGTTAGAGGACTATTGGAAAACCAGCTGACAGAACTGGACAGCTGTTTTGTCTTAGTCTGGAACTCTTCATCAGTACCCACCCCCGGGGGTGGAACCCAGGACCTTCCGGTAATTATATTGTTATATTCTTATTTACTAATTGGCTTCCAAGTGGAACATAGGACCCTGGCAGTCTATCTCCATTGTATTCCGCTCTCTCCGTCACTTCTATAGCTACCTCCACGACTTCCCACAAGCTTTCATTTTCTTTTCATTTGATTTCTATGTCACCCTCAGACACCTTACTAGTCATTTCCCATTCTGTAGTGATTCAGTGGACTCTTTATTCAAAATTAATGTGCCTCAGTGGGTTCAGTGGTAGAATGCGCCCATGAACCACTCACGTAACCTGGGTTTGATTCCAGGCTGGCACACTTCTGAACCTCTCTTAACTAAGTAGTAGGTCCGATAAAGAGAAAAGGTTGGTCGTATGTAACTGGACAAAGGGATGAACTGAACATGGATCCTGAACTTACTAATAAGATAAGACTCTCGGTTGATAAAATAATACCAGATGTAGAATTATGCCTTCCAAAATAAAATAAACAAACAACTAAGTTGGTTGGCGACCTGATCACCGATATCCTCAACAGTTGCAGAAATATTTATAGACTCTTGGAAGTGTAAAGCTCTTAGAACGTTTAATCCTGCTTCTAGATTAGGTGGAGATATGTAAATGACACATTTATGTTGTTATAATATCTGAACATTTCTCGAAGTTCTTTACATATGTATGTGTACAGCAGGTTGAAGATGAGGCAGTAACTCATCGAAGAAAACATTGCGAAATGGTCGCGCTATGCTGTGAATTGGAAGAAGTTAGAATTCATGAGCCATTGGATTGGGTCCCAGTGGCTCAATGATCTACGAGCTGGCCTTGTAACTAGAAGGTCGTGGGTTCGGACTCTGCCGCTGGGTGCGTACTGATGAGGAGTCCCAAACTAGGCTGATGAAACAGCTGTCCAGTACTCCCCGACAAGTTTTCCAGTGGTTCTCTCTAACTGACGTCAGCTCATGATGAGATCCCCCATCCAATCAAACATATATATTTATAAACTCAGTGATAGATGGAATCTTATTGACTTTTTGAGTTAGGAAATGAATAGGGTGAGTTAGCATCAGCAATGCTAGACCGTGAAACCAAACGAAAACTGGATGAAGCGTTTGATAACACATTCTAATAAATACGTAGACTTTAATTCATCCCACCCGAAATGGAGATAGTGGTAGGTTTAGTTAAATGCTTACATAATCTGGTCAATTTATTATCAAGATGTACAATCGTATATATATATATATATATACATATATATATATATATATATATATATATATATAATTATATCCGGTGAGGGAATTAGGTCAAAGGTGTGAATGCATAAAATAATAATAGTAGTAGTATGAAATGCAAATCGTCCAAGGGTGACTTGGAGGAGGTCATATGAAAAGGAGGTGAAAACGTGTGGGCAGACTTGGAGCCAGGTGAAGACTCTAGCAGAGAACCGAAGGCAATGGAGACGCACGGCTGAAGCCCTTTGTTCCTCTAGGAATTAAAGGAAACAATAATAATAATAATGAAATGCAATTAAAATATTTGTGATCATAATCATAGTTAAATGTCAAGTAGTAAAATAATTAATGTCATATATAGAATAATTCATAAGGTATATAGATGTTGGAAAGGGATGCATAATTATAGGATTAGTGGGCGAATATAAAATGTTACATAACATGGTGTGGAATTTTATAAGATATAATTCAATAGTGTAAAAATAAAAAATAAAAATAAATAATTTTCGGTTTAGAATGACAAGTGGGACAAGTGGAAACAATTCAGAGTGAGAATAGTAATAATCGTAGTAATAAGGGAAAGGTACATAGAATATTTAAATAAACAAAATCAATAAATAAATGGCTATCCCTCTACGTTCAGGGCAGAAGTAGGGATTGTACATACTTCTTTTGTACACAAAGGACTGGCTTAAATTCATCAATGGTCAAGGCCTCCGCTGTCTATAGAAGTCTATAACGAAGACAACGCGGCAAGTTAGTGTGGATTCGGTAGATGAACTTAAAATCAAGGTCAGGGTTGGTAGAGTGACAGAATTCGATCAGGTAGGTGTTCTAGAATAGAGCTTGGCACACACTTCCTTTCTCCCTTGTAAAACCATGCTGGAATATGTTGTCGTATCCGTGTGGTGGAAAGCGGTGTTCTCTGGCTACGGCCAATGTACCTTGCTCTACAAGAGCAGGGGAACTGTTAAATGCACATTCTAAATGCACTCATCCCACCCAAAATGGAGGTAGTGGTAGGTTTAGTTAAATGTTTATATAATCTGACCAAGAGCCTAGCTACTCATTCACAATATTTAAATAATGAAATCAAGTAAATAAAGAAAATATTCTAAAGTGAATAACTAACTACCCACCAGAATTTGTTCAAAAATGCATGAAAACTCATAGAGAAAGTAAGAGTAGTCATGTAAATAATACAAATAATAAGAAATTCAAAACCTTGATAGTACCGCCATATGAAGAAGAAACATCAGACGCGCCCTATATAGGATTCTTTCTATTAGCCTGGAATTAAAGGTGGTATTGAAACCAACTAAAACAACCCGACAGATCCAATTAATTAAAAGCAGTGTGCGTCGGTGGCATAGCGGTTAGGACGCTCGCCGACCATGAACGTGGTCCGGGGTTCGATTCCCGGCCGACGCACTCCTTTACCTCGCTAAGCCAGAAGTAATGCTGGTTAAGAGGAAAGGTTGGGCATTAGGCTAGCAACCCCATCCTGTAAAATAAACACTGCTAAAGAAACTTCAAGCCACAAGCTTGAGGCCCTGTGTTCCACTTGGGAACGTGAAGGATAAAAAAAAAGTGTAATTTTACCACATACCATACAATGACTGACTGTGAGATCAGTTTTATTCATATCCCTCAAAATGCCAGACTATTGACTTCTCCCTTAGGCATAAACGAGATCTACAAACCCTAGTAAGTTCTCATGAAGACTGTTGCATTGAGGGGACTAAAATTCAAACCAAGTCTAATGCTAAATACCTCGGTCTAGCTCTATCTTCCGACCTTACTTGGACATCTCATATCCTAACGATTTCTAAGAAAGTGTTCTGTCTTACCTACTACATCAAGAAACTTAGACAATCTGGAATCACCCAACCTCTACTTTCACAATTTGTCAACTCTTGTATCTTACCTATTCCACTTTACTGCTCCCCGTTAGTCTTTCCTGGTCTACTGAAAAAGGACTATACCATCCTGAGGATGTTGAAGGTAGTCAGTAGGACTAGTGGTGTAAGTCTCAGTCAGCTTGTCACTACTTTATTTGATGGGCATCTGAATACATGCGAAAAATGGTCAAAAACCATAATCTCCGACCCTCAACACCCCCTCTATTCCCAACTCTCTCCTTGTATCTCATCAAGTAAAACCAGAAATCAGTATAAAATAATCTATGCTCGTACAACCGAGTACAGGAACTCAACGACACAATACTTGGCCCGTGTTCTAAGCGACAGAGACAATGTTAAGCGTGAAACCTATGTCTTGCTCTGTTATTAACAACATAATTTTAGGCTCTTTTATTTCTCTCTTATTTTGTATTCTTTAGTGAACTCCTTCTTCAAACATACTTAGCTGCCTAAATTATTAACATTGGTTTACTTTCTTTTGTACTTTACTCTATTCCTTCTTTTGTGTATCCACTGGTTCCGACTCTATTAGCACTATGAGTATTACAAAACTGTCCTGTCATTAACCATCATGTAATTATTAGTTTTGTGGTTGTTTTTTTCTTATTTTCTGTACTTTTCGGCAATATTAAACTGACAATCATTGGTTGTGAACGCCATAGTCACCACCTTAAAAAATGTTGTATTATTCAGGATTACTCACACTACGACCACAAACACTGCATTAGACTTTGGTAGACTTTTGTACTTTTTCGCATTTATAATTATTTTGTGTTTATCCTGTTTTTTTTGCTGTTGGTGTCTTCAGATTTATTTTTTTTGTTTGTTTAAATGTCGGTAAAATTAGATGCAAATATTGTAGATATGTGCTGAAAATTCCACACTGTACCACTAGTACTGTTTCTGGAATAAAGCAAATCATTATTATTATTATTATTATTATTATTATTATTATTATTATTATTATTATTATTATTATTATTATATGGGTCAAACTAGTAATAGGATCGGGGTCAGCCAGATTATTGAAAAATATGCATTTAACTAGACGTAGAATGATTCACCCTGTTAAATTAAATAACCTAGAAAAAAGTTCGGTCATTGCAATTGATTCACTTGAATGTAGGGGTTAATCATGTAATCTTTGTTTATCGATTCAACACTGCACACGTGCAGTCGAAATGACGCAACACTGTTATCGGGTATATGGAAGATTACAATGAACTATGTATAAGTACATCGATGTGATTACTGTATCACTCATTGTTGCGTTAATATCAAATAAATCTATCTACTTATATATGGAAATAACGCTTTACCTCAGTGCCCAAGTTCTGCGCCTACGCCAATTCATTTCACGTGCGTGTTCTTATTAAAGCTTCTCCTACTGTCCACCTATGGAAAAAATGTCGGTCTGTGGAAGCAAGGCTCATCTCGCCCAACGCGTCGATGGCACAACGGTTATGACTCTTGCCGACCATGCACATGGTCCGGGGTTCGATCCCCTACCGACGCACACCTGATATCTATGGTCGGCCTGCAAAATTTGGGCTAACGATATCACCTGCTGAAAATTCCATATCTGTACCAAAAAAATACTGTGTGGAATCAAGCTGTAATCAAAAATAAAAATAAATGAGATGAGATACACTTTCATTGATTAAGTAAGCGTTGAGTGTAGCGATAAGCTAGTTTTTTATCGCCTTTGGTCGACCCATAACGTCAGCGGCGATAGACGTTTATGCTTAGTCATAGGTTAGGCAAAGTAGTTGTACTTCTAGACTTCTATTCCCTGAAATGTGGCTGGAATGTGTTCTTTCTTACCCTGAAGTGTTTGAAGACTACTCAATATATTCCAATAGCTTTTCCTGTCTTCCCCTTTTATTGTTACTATACGTGATACGCGAATGTTAATAATTAAGTGCTGTTTATCGATACACTATATTCAATCTCATTTGGGGATAGTTAGTTGCAACAGTAACCGCCGCACCCCCCTCATCCCCAATTTTTGATGCCTTATGATCATCCTTCTGTGTACCAATGCCACTTATATGTATGTATGTATTATCTGTAAAAGTGATTGATTATTAAAGAACTGTATGCCTTTTCTCTCTCTCTTATTCCAATACGTAATTAATAAAGGTGATCCTGATATGTACACGCCAAATGGTCATGCCTATTCATCTCTGGTAGATGAAGCCAGCCGATTTAGATCGTATCCAACCTATACACAACAATTATCTCAACATATACCTCATAGTAATAGTACAAATATACGCCAGCCTATACTAACCTCTTCATCGACTTCTGCATTGTCTACAACATCGAGTAATGCATTCTTTCATCATGATACTTCAAATTCGGTGTTAATTAATCAAGTGTGTTCAATTCCGAATATTGGCGGTAATTCAATCATCAACTCTAGTAATCATAACAGTGGGAATGAATCACTAACCAATGGACATTTCCAATCATCAATATCACATCCGAATATTGTCCCAGTGACTACAACATTCACCCCAGCGATAGCTCCTAAATCTGAAACAAATGCACAACATTCTTCAATGTCGAAATCCAATAATAATAATAATCATAATTCTATTGATGAATGTCGTAGGAATTCGGTCACAGGTGGTGGTAGTAGTAGTCGATCGGAGCAAGGTAAGGGTGAGTGAATGACTCAGTTTTTTTAGCACTTCATCCTCGTCATTTGTGTTAACTTTATGTGAAGGTCAATCATTCACGTATGTCCTCTCTTTTTTGTTGTTGTTATTGTTTTACTGAATTTGTCATATGATAATTTCTATCATGCTTAGTAGTAATGTAACAGCAGAAGACAAGGGCCAGGTAACAAATCGTATACTGAGAAAATCAACAGATATTTATAGATTTTTATGTACATTGTTATAGGTTGTTGTTAGCAGACAAACAGAGTCCTCTGATTGGTTGTTTTTCTCGCTGAAAGTTAATCTGTCATCTCTTTGTGGCCGTTTCTTTGAAGGTCAAATCATCTGTCTGCGAATCGTATCCGCCCACGCAAAGTCTTTGTTCTTGTTTTTCTCACGACCAATATAAACCTTGACGTAAATCAATGTCTACCAATTTGGCTAGCAGACGACAGGTCTCACCATAGTAGTAGTGACGTTCACTTACACTGAGACGGAAATCTCAGCACGGATACACAAAAGGCTTGTATTTTACATTTGCCAATTTACACCATCTTTGATGGTATCGATGTGATATGCGGTTTAGATGTCAATTAAATGACGTGTATATACCACTCAACAGTTCTCTCAATCCTCCTTTCCATGTTGTAACAACAGAAGACGAGACAAGCCAGGCAACAGATCGTTTATATTAAAGAAATCAACACATATTTATAGATTTTCATGTACATATTATAGATTATTGTTAGCAGAAAAACACAGTCTTCTGATTGGTTGTTTCTTTGTGGCTGTTTCTTGAATGTCAGGTCATCTATATGCTAACTGTATCCGCCTACGCAAAGTCTTTGTTCTCATTTTTCTCACGACCAATATTTGGGACATAAACCTTGACGTAAATTACTGTCTACCAATTTGGCTAGCAGCAGCCAGCTCTCACCACAATGTTACTATTTCTCCCGTACATGTCTGTTTATGATTGTTCTTTCGAATCTCTCTCTTTTGTGTGCAACATGGAGTGTAGCAACTCGAACTGCTACACTTTATGTTGAAACGAGTCAGTCGACCGTCTTCCTTTATATGGCTGCGAGATATAGAGGATTGAAAGTGGAAGGTATGAAAAGACCGGCTATCTGTCTTTGATCGTTGATGTCTGCGTTCTATCTCCGGTGTGTTAAGTGGTGTAACAAGGTGAGCAGTATTTGAGGTTAGGTTTCAGTCGAGTGCTAGGTAGGTGGGAGAGGAAATCAATCGACGAGGTTGTGAAGTAACATCGATTGAGAGATATGGTTAGGACGTGTGTTACGCATTTATCCCTAGCCATCAGTAGTCACCTTTCTCGACGAAGAGTGTTAATCGACATAGGGTTGAAAAAGAATAAAGCATGGTTAAACCAAAATCTGTTATCATACCACAGAGATGTTAGTTGTTGGTTTGAGCCAATCAAGTAGAGAGGTGTAGGCTTCCTTGTTACGGTCTTCAGGATTCTAAGAACCAATAGCCTGAGATTATTGGTGATAATGAATCGATGATGCAGTTGTATTCACTCTTCGTCGTCTCCAGGAATCATTAAACCATCAGGTTTTTCCATGTTACATTATTCTTTGTTTCTTTCTCCAGTACATTTAGGCTCTTTACAGTTCATTTGAATTCTTTCTTCTCTACCTTTGTGTGTACCAATATGGAGTGTGGCAATTTAAACTGTTGCATTCCTTTGCTAGGTTCTATATTGGAGAATTTAAGAGAACAGAAGCAGCGAAGATAATTTTTTTGATGCAGTCATCAACTGGACTGTGCATTCGTGTATATACGAAGTAAATGAAAAAGTTCCATTTCCACAAGAGCGTGTGAACTGGTATATACATGTTGAAGTGACTTAGTGCGACAGCTTGTCTTTCACGTGTTGCTAACTGAATAGTTACTTGTAAAAACCAACCAGGAACCAATTGTGAAACAAATAGGCAGGAAGAAATGGAGATGGATTGGCTGGCCATACTCTGAGGAAACACATCATCAAGTGACATCACTAGACAAGCCATTGCTCGAGTGGAACCCGAAAGGGAAGCGGCGAATTAGTTGGTCGTCAGTGCGAGGGTGACTTGGAGGAGGTCATGTGAAGAGGAGATGAAAACGTGTGGGCAGACTTGGAGCCAGGTGAAGACTCTAGCAGAGAACCGAATGCAATGGAGACGCACGGGTGAAGCCCTATGTTCCTCTAGGAATTAAAGGAAACAATAATAATAGTATGTCACTCTTAGACTGGTGGCGAAGTACATCTTACTGAGAGATTTCGAAAGCTGTTTTCGGGGAATTTCCTCTTCAGTAACACTTATTATATCATTACTATTATTATTATTGGATTCGAGATTAAGCGGCAGCGTCTTTATGGGGGTGATCTGGACCTGTTCAGAAGCTTTCTTTGGTATTCGATTCCTGTCTGTGCATCTGAGTGGGAAACCATTTTCCATCAATATTCCTTGGATATTTTGCAGCTCTTCGTCAGTATATTCTTCGGTACATATTTTCTGGATTCTTGATGAAAGAGAATACATGAGGTTTCTCTTTCTCCATAGAGAGCGACAAATTGTAACTTTTTGGTGGAATTGATTAGCTCACAGACAGTTGCACAAAGTATTACTATCCAAATGTTGTTTCTTTTTGTAATATTTTGAATTAACTTCTTTTTGCAGGTTCCACAACCTATCTGGAACATCTGGAATCGAAGGATATAAGACGCCGTGTTAGTCATAACGAAGGTAACTAACTGTTTCGACTGTTTTCTCTTTGTGGGTGTTTACGATTTGAGTATTTTCACAAAAAAACACAAGTTTCTTTGCGTATACTCCGATAAAAAACAATTTTTGGTTAGCTAATCTCTCCTCAGGCTCATTTAGCACTCGACTTCCAGTCAGTGAGTCCTGGGCTCGAATCTCTCCCTCTCTTCATCTACTTCAGTTTATGGGCAACTCTGGGTAGTGGTATTATCGGCTCCTTACACGATTTCTGCGGCTTACAGTCAACCCATTGTAACTCCCGTTTAACAGGGTTCGAATGCAACTAAGTTAGCGATCTCGTGCGGTAAAACCTAAAATATGACACAGTGAGTCTATATCAAGCGTCTTATCGATTATTCTTTCAACTATATCGTTTGTGCATGTGTGCGTGTTTACAATCGGTTGGTTCATGTTTGACTTGCAATTTATGATTCACTTGCATATAATTGTTTGCTTAGAGTAGTGAATCATAATGTTAGATGACTTACGGTATGGTAGTGGTGCATTGTGAGTCAGTGGAGTTTTGTGTAATGCTGTGGTTATTATTCATTATATTTATTGAAGCGAGATGTGCCACACAAAATCTCATGATTTTTGCGAGGGCTTGGATACTGCCCTCAAGAACTCTAGACCGAAACTTCCCAAATAAGTAAGTGAAGTGGTCAACACACTCCACCAACTCACTTCACTCCCTATCTTTAAATTAGGAGTCAATGTATCCAGTCCTGTCCTGTCGGTGGCACAGCGGTTAGGACTCTCGCCGACCATGCACATGGTCCGGGCTTCGACCTCTCACCGACGCACACCTGATATCCATTAGCGGCCTGCAAAATTTGGGCTACCGATATCACATGCTGAAAATTGCATAGTTGTACCAAAAATGCGGTGTGGTTCCAAGCTATAATCAGAAAAAGAACAGGTGGGTGTCTTAAGTTAAGTGGCCAACCCCCTACTGACTCTTCAACTTGAAGTTTAAGAGCAGTTTAGCAGTGTTGTCAGGAGCTACTACGTTCTCATGAGTGCTGGTGGAAAAAACCCGGTTCATACACCATTTGATGAGATTGAATTCTGGAGCCCATATAAACCACAGGTGTTTAGAATTAGGGTGTTTCACTTCCCCTAGATAGACTTTAATGTCCACCAGTTCGGTTGTAAGTGTGCTAGACGTTTGTATCTGCACTTTCACTTTTGTAAAAGATATCGTGTCAACGTGAAGGCAGCAAGTACGTGTCCACATAGGAGCATTTTGAGAGGAGAACTGAATTCTGTCCACTCGGTCATACCATGTTGTCTATGGTAAAAAAAGATGAATACATACACTGATTGGAAACTAGTTAGTAGCTAGTGTAATATGTCTAGTCCTTTGTTCACTGCAGACTGAATTCTATCAGTAAAGTTTGCAATGTGGCCATCACGGTGCACTGTGAATTGTTGATAATAGATGGTCGGAGGCAATCGGCAAGAAGCCCTGTTGACACCTAGGTTTCGTGCTTGTTGGCACTTACTAGTAGTCAGCAAGACGTATCTGTAATCTTGAAGGAACTCATGTCCCTCTTGAGATTCGAAGACGTGTCACACGGTGAGTGTTGCATTCAGAGACGACGTTACCACTGAGTTAGTCAGACACTCTGTCGCCCTCCTCTGTGACCGTATTGAATACCTCGATTGGACACTTATTAGTTGTTGGTGCTGACTGAATTCTTTGAAATGTATTCTAGTCCAGTGAACTCTTCTGAAGTAGAATTGATAATGAAATGGTCACGAAGTGTCTTTTACGAGAGCCTGCATTTTGTAAATTAACGGCACACACTCACTCATATGCATCACCTATCCTACTTTACGATTATGCGACATGACTATGTCATGAGCGAAGAAGATATGAAAAGACAAACTAGCGATTTTCGTCCATAGGTGGGTTACCATCACTTATAATTCCTCGTTTTGAACAGAGCAATATAGTAATGAAGTAAGGAGTGTATAGGTTGTGTTGTTAGGTAATAAAAAGAAAGTTCAAGTGTTGGTTTGTAGGGGTTTGATTGGTTACAGGAATTCATCATGAGCTAACATTAGTTAGAGAACCATTGGAAAACAGCTGTCCAGTACTCCCAGGTTTTCCAATGGTTCTCTAACTAGTGTCAGCTCAAAAAGAAAGTCATTTGATGAAATTTTAAAGGGCTATCGATTGAGAAATGCAGTCTTTCTCAGTGAGTAATTTTAGTAATTGAAATAGGGACTAGATTGGAAAGTGGTTAGGTGTTTGTTAGATGAAAGCATGACACACCAATTCATCATGAAGCTATTGGTTATTTGTCTTACCCACTTTAAGAATGAAATGTAACTCAGCAACCACTCGTAAATCTATGCAGTTGACAGTGAGCCACACCTCTTGGACTGTTTGGTTACCGAGAAAACAAACCGCACTGATAAAGGCACACTAGTCGAACTCATGCAGCCAACCTTGTGAGAGCCTACTGAGAGTTGTCATCTGAAGTGATGACAACCAGTGGTGTCCGTTAGCGAAGGATGCCCATATCTGTTTAATTTCGTCATAGACATACAAATGGACTTTACTCTAACTGACTTCAGTGACTCATGGACTGATTTGTTACCACCAGGGAATAATCTCGTTGACTTAGAATATGCAGATGATCTAGTCCTGTCTTCTAGGTGAGGACTCTGACAAAGTGGAGAGTCTTTTGAACACCTTGAGGAGCAGAAATCTTCGAATATTTGGCATGCGATCCGTTTCCATCAAATATAAGATGATGCTACAGGATTGGATTACATCGACACACTGCTAGCTTAAAGATAGGCACGAGTGAAGTGGTAGAGCGTGTTGACCATTTCACTCAATTATTTGAGAAGTTGCATCAGTCAACACCAGCGGGTTGATCTGATGGCTGACAAAATCTCAGCACGGATACAGGAGGCTCGTTTGGAACTTGCCAAATTACACCATCTCTGGTTTAGTAGACGTGATATCCAGTTGGCTATCAATCAAAGGACGTGTGTACTGCTCAGCAGTGCACTCCATCCTCCTCCTTTATGACTGTAAGTTAGACATAGCCATTGAAAGTGGAAGATGTGGAAAACCGGGCTAGCTATCTGTCTTTGAGCAATATTCAAGTTGGGCGTCGGTCGAGTACTAGGTAAAGAGGGGAAATCAGTTGACGAGGCTGCAAAGTTACATCGATTGAGAAAGGTGGTTAGGGCATGTGTTACGCATGCATCTCTCCTAGCCATCGATCACCTTCCTCGACAACGGGCAATTTTAGCTGACATAGGATGGATCAGGTTGGAAAAGAGTTAGCTAGTGGTGGTCAAAGCAAGACATGGCTTCCTCAGTCAATGAAATCCACCAAGGCTGGAGGCAATTATCGGTGATGTGACTCAAAATCGTTCTCAATCAGTGATGGCACAGACGCATTCACTCTTTGTGGTTTATCATATCGAATAAAATTTTACTGTTCTTCCATATTACTACTGATTTCCCTCACTCACACTTCTGTTTATTATCTCCCACTTGAATCTCTTTCTACTCTGTTCTCTTGCTTTGTGTGGTACATAGATTGTGGCAGCTGGGACTGGTGCACATCTGTGCAAAGTTCTATGTTGAAACCAGTCAGTCACTCACACCTCTCGGGTGCTGAGGACTAGTGATGCTACCTGGTTGGCCCAAACATCGGTAGATGTAGTGGGGCTTGCTACCCATGACTTACACTGGTTGGGAGTTGAGTGCCTACACCAGTCCGGAACAACGCCACTCATTTTGCGTTCCAAGTGAAGCCCAGAGCTTCAAGCTGGAGTTAAAAGGTCTCGGTAGCAGTGGTGTTTATTTTTACGGGGTGAGATTGTTAACTTCATACCCAGCTTTTCCGCTTTGCTGGTATTACTTCCGACGTAGCGAGCTTTAGGAATGCATCAACCGGGGGCTGGAACCCGATCACATGCGTGTTCGGTGAGCATTCTCCCTTTGAACCACTGACTCACCTGTCTAATAGTAAATGATATCTAGATGATTTGAGCAGAATGTCGATCAATATATGGGCCATTTTCTTCCACCGTCAGGGGTTTAGAAGCGAATGCTGGAGATGAATCTCAGCACTTTCACATTTTCATTTTTAAATAAAGTTTCCCTTGTATGTATATATTCGATAGTTTAGGGCTTGATATAGCACATACGGCGTTAACTAACACACTTTCTCCCCGCACATATTGTACAAACTGAATAGTTTTTCCCTTACTTTTACTGACGGTCTTATTGAGGGAACCTAAAACAGAAGGAGGACTAGAGTTGTGTAATTGCAGAGCCCAAAGGACATCTGCTTGAGACCGGTTGTACACTGCCTATTTTTGTTGAAATGGATTGTTGGATTCGCGTCTGCACTTAGATCTTACCGCCTCAAGGTAAGCAGGAGTATACAATTTACGGAATGGACCTTTTCTAACCCCTCTCCGAAGCGGAAAGGCAGCATAGCTGATATGCTTGTCATTTGAGGCAAACACCTTACTACTATTACATCCCTATTCGCCAGTAGTAGGACTTCTCCCACAGACTATGATGGTAACTGCTTTCAGCCTGAACGCTATCAAATGATGTTTCTGGTATGTTAGGACCTTCAGGAACATTAGTTCCATCGTGTGTAGCTCGTTGAGTCATCGCTATATGCAAGGCCGTCCACCATGTGAAGGGTGTGTGTGTGTGTAGTGACGTTGTGCACACCCACACAGGTGCTCGTGTTACAGTCCACATTCATTGATGCACAATTTGCATATCTATCTATCAGTGCAGTCCACACGCACGTATATATTCCACATATTAAATCAATCTATCGATAGGTGGTTGTGTATAGCTTTTTGTGATTCCTATCACCAATGCCTATCTGTCTCTAGAACGCGCCTGTGAATGTGTGTGTGTGTGTGCGCTGCGCGCGCGCGCCTTAGTTTCGATCTATATATGTATGTTTTTTTATCTCGTTCATTTCAATCGATTTTAACGCTTGTGCATTTTTAATGTTTGTTCTATTTCATTTCACATTGTGTTTTGTTGTGTTTTATGTGATCCAATTAACTAACAAATTTAATAAATATGAAATCGAGTTGTGATTGTGGATCTATGCCGAGACGAGAGAGAGAGGGGGGGGAGAGAGAGAGTTAGAAAGACAAAAGGAAACAGACAGCTAGTTGTTTTGTAATTAACTTTATCACACACACACACATGCATACACAAAGAAAACCAATTAAACGCTTTGTTGTTTTTGAGTGTGTGTGTTTGTAAATTTAAATAATTGTGCATTGTTTGGCCTCGAAAATCGATTTTATAGTCCACTTGCAATATATATGTATATAAAGAGAGGTTTCTAAGAGGTAATTCTGAACTAGGGTTTACAGATTGTACAGATGTACATGGAGAAGCTAAAGGTTAAGAAGATACCCGGGTGACCACCGCCACCACCTCCACCACCAACAACAAGCGTCAGTCACCGTAGATGGAAGAGATTTAAGTGAAATCACTTCTTTAATATAAGATTGGGATGCAAACGAAACATAACTAGGTAGTTTTGCCACATCTATGTACATTTAATGTGCGTCGGTGGCATAGCGGTTAGGACGCTCGCCAACCATGCACATGGCCCGGGGTTCGATCCCCGGCCAACACACTCCTTTACCTTGCTAAGCCAGAAATAATGCTGGTGAAGAGGAAAGGTTGGGCATGAGGCTAGCAACCCCATCCTGTAAAATAAGCACTGCTACAGAAACTTCAAGCCACAAGCTTGAAGCCCTATGTTCCACTGGGGAACGTGAAGGAAAAACAATGTACATTTAATAATTCAACTGCTCTCCTGAGTCGACAGTTATGTTGACCGTACTACTTACTAGACAGCTTAGCCAGCGTGGTGCTTTGGCAAAGGACAGACAAAAACAATGCATATCTCCATTTGGTCACATTTAGTTGATAGTGGTCATGTAGTGGAGAAAACGAAAGCTTTCAATGTAATTCATCATATCCCACCAAATCTTTCCAGTAGACTTCGTATTCGTCGACTGCACGCACACAGCTGAGGTGATAGGCATTCCGAACTATTAAACCTAAACTAAGCATTCAAAAGAAGTTCGTACAACCATTATCCCTCTTTTGTTAACCTATTGAGACCTAATCAACTGATGACATCACCCCCACCACCCTTTACTTATATTTTCAACCCATCTCTTATCATCCCTTAATCTTATCATATTTTCATTAAAACGTATTTTATTTACTTCCCTTACAATCAATCTAGCATTACTTAATCGATTCATTTGTTTCTGCTAAGCCTTTATCGACTACTACGTCTACCTGAACACATTTGTTTGTTTAGTCATGCTGTTTTTCGTCATTCTTGTCATTACAGGTCGTCTCATTTTTTCATCCTTGTTATAGATAACACCATTATTATTATTGCTATTATCATTACTACTATTATGACTAATTGCACAATTTATATGCTCAGTCGTATTAACCTATTGACAAAACACTGTGATTGGTTTATATTTGAATTTTTATTTGTAAAGTTATGCAGGTACATTAGAGTTAAGCCTGATGATGAGATCTAATTGAAAGCACAATATTGTTCGTTTAAATGTGTTGTTCTAAATTTCACTATGGGAATACTTGATATTTTGAAATCTTTAATATATGTGTGTAAAACTTGGGCAGCACAGTGGTAGTGTTTTTTTTATTCCTTTACGTTCCCAGTGGAACATAGGACACCTTCAAGCTAGAGGCTTGAAGTTTCGGTAGCAGTGGTGTTTATTTTTATGGGATGAGGTTGGTAGCCTCACCTAGCCCAACCCCCTCCCTCTTTACCAGTCTTATTACTGGCTTAGCGAGGTAAAGGAGTGCGTCCAGTGGCCAGGGATCGAACTCCCAACCACATGTGGCGTGGTTGGGCGACCATTTTACCGCTGTGCCACCGACGCACTCAGTGGTGGTTGTAGTATTTTGTTTACTAGATATATCACACATAAAGTGAAACTGCATTATTTACTGGATGACGATGTGTCGAACACAATTTATTGCTGTTCATAATTATATCAAATTATCAATTTTGAAACTCAGTCAGTCAGATTTTGCACTTTTTCACATCATACGCAAGTGGTAAGTGTAAAAAGAAGTCTGGATAAAAGGATGTGGTGATTAGACAAAGATTCGTAGAGTGATACATCATACATATATATACACATACACACAGGATGGTTGTGTTCGTAGTGAGAGCAGTATAAACAAGTCAATCTTGGAATACTGCAAAGTTATTCGAATAAAGGCGCACACATCAGTTCGAAATATTTAAAAAAAAATTGATTACAGATGCTCGTTAAAATTTTTAAGACTACTAATTAGTCAACAAAAGAATACTCTTTTCGACAACTTTTTCATCGGATTCTACAGTTATATGTATTCATAATAATTAAAGAATTCATGCGCCAATGAATGGTCTACGAGCCTGCTTTGTGACCGGAAGGTCCTGGGTTCGATTCCCAATCGCTGGGTGCTTACTGCCTATGAGTCCCAAACTAGGACCGAAATAGCTTTCCAGTTGGTGCGTCGGTGGCACAGCGGTAGAATGCTCGCCAACCACGCCACATGTGGTCGGGAGTTCGATCCCCGGCCACTGGACTCACTCCTTTACCTCGCTAAGCCAGTAATAAGACTGGTAAAGAAGGAAGGTTGGACTAGGTGAGGCTAGCAACCTCATCCCATAAAAATAAACACCACTGCTGCCGAAACTTCAAGCTTCTAGCTTGAAGGTGCCCTATGTTCCACTTGAAACGTGAAGGATTAAAAATAATGCTGGTTCTCTAACTGATATCACTCCGTCGTCTGACCTGAAACAAACAGAATCCCCACAAACCAATTCTCAAAAATTAAAGAATTATTATTGTTATTATTATTATTGCCACCATTAATGCCTCAATATCGATAGCATTATAATTCAAAAGCATCTGCAAGTGGTAACAGACATCAATATTAACTCTAAACTGGTTGAATATCAGATAAACTAAGAAAAATAACGCTACAGAATTTTATGAATTTACAGAGTCCACAACAGATGGCAATGTAACAATATAATGGCTCATTAGATCTGTTTCTATCAATTCAACTGCTCTTATGCGGGGGAGTTATATTGACCATTGCACTAGAAACTTACTTGCACGTGTTCTGGAACACCTACTAGTATAGTATAGTGGAATAGAGGTAGTAGTAATGACCATAAACAATTCAATATTAGACCAGCTTGTTCAAACAGGCTATTCAAGAGTCTTTTCCTCTTGTGTATCAGAGAATCGAAGAAACTACCAAAGGTATATAGATACCGAATACTCTACACAGCAGACACCATTGCAATACGCCTCTAAAACCACCGGAACTCTCTGTGTACCAGACAAACAGGTCCAGCCATTACTGCTATTCTCTGGCCCTCTGTGGATTGTATAAGTTTATTATTTGTCTTATTTTATATGTACTTTGCTGTTATATTGATGCATATTATCACACACTTACAAATAGATTTGAACTGTAATCAATATCTAATAATTGAATTTTAAATTTTCCTGTCGATTGATTGGACCGAAGTGCTCGGTCCCAGGTTGACATGTCAGCGTTTTGTGCAGATGCTTCGAAGATGTCTGGGCATTTAATTAGATTTTAATTTGTGGATGGTGACTAGCAGTCGTATCCTGGATTCCACTGCTAGAAGACTGTTATGTTGTCAGTAACAATAATTCCTTAATTATTATTATGGATTCACATAAGTGTAAAACCTGATGACGGAGAGAGGAAGTTATCGAATCTCAGTCTTTTGGAATGACCCTCATTTATTTATTTTTTTTTGGATTACAGCTTGATTCCACACCGTATTTTTTGGTACAGGTATGGAATATCTTCAGAATGTGATATCGGTAACCCAAATTTTGCAGACCGACCAATTGATACCAGGTGTGCGCGTCGGTAGGGGATCGAACCCCGGACCATGTGCTTGGTCGGTGAGAGTCCTTACTACTGTGCCACCGATGCACTTTTTTACGCATTATTATCGTTTACATTATCACTGTTATTATTATTATTGTTATAATTATTATTATTATTATTCATACTTCATCAATCTAGTTGAACGCCGACGTCGAGATCGTATTAACACTTGGATTAGTGAATTGTATAAACTGCTACCACCGGATGAACAAACCAAATCACAATATCAAAGTAAAGGTATTGTCTTGAAACGTGTCTGTGAATACTTTCAAAATGTGGATAGTATGCTGAAAGCTGCTAATTCAGCAGTTGAACAGGTAAGTGTTTGTGTGTGTGTGTGCCTGTGTGTGTGTCTTACGATTGATTATTTATAATATGATTTATGATGATGATTCTCCTAGACAGTGAATGTGGAGCCTTCAACAGTTGTACATGTTCATTTCACCCCGTTCTCTGCAGTCCTTCTTGCGAGTAACTCTATGATTGATTAGAAGTTTCCATTTTCTCCTTTTTCTACGACCTCTCCTTCACGTCACCCACAGGCATTCAGTTTCATGGTTTAACTTCTCCTGATTTCTTCCTTTATATACGAATAAAATGTTCACAGGATTTCATCATAAGTTGACATCAGTTAGAGAACCATTGGAAAACCTGCACGGAGTTACTGATCAGCTGTTTCATATGACCCGTTGCACAAGAGGTAGCTCTCGTGGCCCAAGTGGTCTAGTGGATAACGCTTTGGTGTTTGAAACTATGGGCACTGGGTTTGAGCCTCAGTGGTGGGAACATCATCACTCACTAGGTACATCCATTGTCTGACGAGTCCCAAATAGGACGAAACGCGCATCCTGGATTCCACTTCTGGTCACCATCCACCAGTTAAGCTGTCTCATCAGCCTAGTTTGGGACTCTTCATTAGTATTCACCCATTGGGGTTCAAACTCAAAACCTTCCGGTTACAATGCAAGCTCGTAGATCATTTATTCAGCCACAGGGATCCGATCCAATGGGCCCGAACTAGGACGAGACAGCTATCCAGTACTCCCAAGTATTCCAGTGGTCCTCTAACCGATGTCAGCTCATGATGAAATCTTGTAACCAATCTATCAAATCCCTGCCAAACTAACACTTGAATGAATAGAATGTTTTTCACTAAATTCTTTATGTATTATAATGGTTTACGTTTGATGAGTGTTAGGGCATCTAAATAATGAATCTTCTGTGAAAAACTTCACAATTTTGCGTTTAATTATTACGTATTCATATTAAGCAGTGAGATGTTATTGGCATATTATTTACTAGGATGTTTTTCATTTTGGTTGTGACGATAAGTCGGGGCACTATTCTGCACATTGCTAATGTCTTGGATCTATGATGTCTAGTAACTGTTTTGTGGGCTTTTGGAAGTGTGTAGGCGAAGGTTGTTACTTACTGGTTAACTATACCGTGGGAATTAATTTTTTCCTGAGTTATCTGAAATAGAAGGATAGTTAGTGTTGCGTGACCGCAGAGACCAAGGGACAACTGCTTGACGCCGGCCGGTGACACACGGCCTGTATGAACTGGTTTATTGGTTTGGTTCCTTATTAGTCAATTCATCGCCGGTTACGGACCACCGTAGGGTAAGTCGAGATGTACAATTGTTGGGGTCGACCTTTTCTAACCCCTTCTCTCCAGAGTGGAGAGACAACATAGCTGGCTGGCTGGCATTCTGGTCGTCTGAGGGAAACACATTACTGCTGTCACATCGCTGTCCCTCAGCAGTACGACTTCACCCACATACCCCTAGCGTAGTGTAAGAAAAGAAATTCTTACACTTAGCCGGTAACTCCTTTTAGTCTAATCGTTATCCTAACAACCTTCCTGGCATAGTAGGACCTGCAGGAACAATAATTCCAGCCAGTGTAGCTTGTTGGGTCAAGGTAGCAGCCATCGGTCGGTTGGGGTCCTCGGGACTGTAAAAGCCAATGAAGGCTAGAGACAAATATCGGTGATATGGCTCAAAATCGTTCTTAGTCAGTGATGGCGCAGATGCATCCACTCCTTATGATTTATAATATCTAACAAAACTTTATTGTTTTTATACATCACTATTCTTTTTGCCTTATATCTCTGTTTACTGTCTCTGTTTCGCATTTCGTTTTACTTTCTTCTCTTGCTTTGTGTGCTACATGGAGGGAATGTGGCGGCTCAAAATGCTGCACATTTGTGCAAAGTTCTACGTTGAAACCAGTCAGTCAGTGACTGCTACTTATTCTTTTATAATGTAGTGGGGAATATATATATATATATATATATATATATATATATATATATATATATACATTCACTGAGCTGAATGATTTAATTACGTAGCTTTTTCTATCTTTCTAGACAAGAACATAAACGACCTGATACGGTTAAGGGGATGAGTAGACTTCGGTCTTCCTCTCAAAACACTGTCATGTGATTACACCGCGTTTGTATCCTCTGCCAGATAAATCCTCTCCACCGGCCTTCACGCGGCCATAGTGTTTCTCACGAAAGTGAAATGACCTACATCTGGACCTGTGGACCTGTGTACAGGCCCACCTAACTGTAGGCGGGTGGTGGTGGTTGGAGAATCCTGATTCCAAACCTACCGTGTATATCCGCTCCAGAATCCAAAAGGATAGAACGAAGTGTGAACCTGCTTCATTTCATCATGGATCAAACTTCATATGAAAGGCTCGTTGGCGGCGGGAGGCGGTGGTCCCTTCAGACAACAACCACCTACGTTGGTCTGGGCATCCCAGTTGTCGCACAATTGGTGTGGCGCATTTCTTGGTGAAAGTAATGTGCCAAGTTTTTGTTGTGGTAAATAAATAAGAAAACGCATGTTCAGAGTCTCCTACATTAAGAGGTGTGATCTTTTAGAATTATGTTTGTGAGTGTGGTAACTGTTTCTCTTGACGAACTTCATTGTGACTTATTGTCCCTGGAGAAGTTTTTTTAGACTTTTAACCTCAGTTCTATTGATATTGATTATTTTGTTGACCTATTGTTTGACATTTTTTAGTCACATGACTTGTTTTTCATTACTTAATCAATGTATCTATTGATTACGAATTCGTTTGAGTACCAAACTTCTTTCTAGGCACACTCCTCCCTAACGTTTAGGATATTTTCTTACTTTAGAAGTTTAACATTCTGCCAGTTAAATTGCTGTCCATAGTTGTCTGCATAATTCTCGCTTTGTATGTAAATACGAAGTGTTAAAGGCACTCCTCGATAGTATGTATGTATAGTTGTGAGTATATTTCTGTCTGCCATACAAAAAGCTTGGATTTGATTTCTGATCGAGGAAGTGGCTTTTGTCCCACTACCATAGTGTGACAGCATACGTGGTCAGGAGGTTCGATTTCCGGTCACCACCAGGTCACTCCTGAAATTCCCTTAACCGCGGTAGTTAGCCCAGAAGATGAGCGCTGAGAAAGCTTGAATTAAGGCGAATGCTTCACTTGTAACACAAAAGAACGAGAGAGTGTGTGTGTGCGTTGACAGAAAACGAAGGGTTAGGATAGATTCCAGTTGATTGAAGGGATTGAATGTGTTATGCCTTCAAGCAATCCCTTACTTACACTTAACATTAGCTCCCCCAGCCCACCCAACAACCCCTTCCCCTAGTGTACACTCATTTCCTAAATCTCAGCTGTTATCAAACAATGGCAAATTTGTTATACTTACAGAGTGTGTAGTGTAGTGCAGTGTTATGGGGCAGGTATGAACACATGCACACACATACATAATATATATATGTATATGTATCATACATTTTTAAAAAATCAATAAGTCAGAAATTCAGTTCTTACTTTTTATATATACTACCTTGTTTAAAAATCATGTCAAACAACACGTTGAATGCGTGTGTGCGTGTGTAATTGTGTGTGTATGTGTGTAGGTATGTACATGTGTGTGTCAGTGTGTAGGTATGTACATGTGTGTGTCAGTGTGTTTGTAGTCAGAGAGAAAGAGAAATATATAGTTATTATTATTGTTAGTATTAAAGGTTGATTTATTGATCGTGTATTATTATTATTAATATTAGTGTTAGCAATACACTAATATTACAACAACGACTACCACTGCATTCACAGTATGCTCGCGCGCGCGCGCGCATGTATGTACCTGTTGTCTGTCATTTTACGCGGGCACACACACGTAGAGGCTGTTTTCATTTCTGCATCAAGAGAAGAGAATATAAAGAAAGAAAGAAAGACATAGAGGCAGCTGTGCTCTGTGCCTCTGTGGTGTACAGAATTATTATTATTATTATTGCTGTTCTCGTGGAATTAAGTTTTCATGATTCCAACCAAGAACAAGTATGAAAAAAAAGATAACTAGATTGTGTGTAATTATTAATAATTGTCTAATTACTGCTTCCATTCTCTCGTCATCATCATGTCAGTTCATATATTTTAAAAAAATGATTATTAAGCGATTTAGTTAGTTGAATAGACTTTGTCCTCTATAACCCACCCAAGCATGCACACCTCACATACACACACAAAAGCGAGTGTATGTCGTAAAATAGTGCAGAGAAAATTTTTTTTTGCTTGTTTTGGTTTTTATGAAACTTAAAAAAAGCACAATTATTGCTAATGCTACTTACTACTACTACTACTACTACTATCGATTTATGAACCCCTGGTTTCTCCACTAATTTTTCTCTTTATGATGACATTTGAAACCCGATGGTATTCATATAATTTTCTATGAGTGGGTAGGTGGGTGGGTGGTAAAGGCTGAGAAGTTGACTGATGTAAACATTTCTCAAAGTGGTGGGTTGGCTTTGCAAGTAGTGTGAGCCATGGAGATTGGGAGGGACTGACTGACTGACTGGTTGCAGCATAGAATTTTGAACTGATGTGCACCAGTTCCAGCTGCCACACTCCCTCTACATAGTACACAAAGCAAGCGAAGAGAGTAGAAAGAGATTCGAAACAAAGATAAACAGAAGTGTGAGTGATGGGAAAAAGAATAGTAATATGAAAGAACAATAGAATTTTATTCGATATGATAAACCACAAAGAGTGAATGCATCTGCGCGCCATCACTGACTGAGAACAATTTTGAGCCATATCACCGATAATTGTCTCCAGTCTTCATTGGTATTGGTTCTTACTATCCCGAGGACCCCAACCAGCTAGTCAGGAGGTCTACACCTCCCTACCTGACTAGCTGGCTTAAACTAACTGTTGTGGATTTCACTGACGGATGAAGCTATGTTTTGGATTGACCACCAGTGGCTCTTTTCCAACCTGATCCATCCTATACCAGCTAACATCGCCCTTTGTCGAGGAAGTCGACCGGTCGCTAGGGAAGGGATGCATGCGTAACACATGTCTTAACCACATCTCTCAATCGATGTAACTTCACAACCTCTTGATTGTGTAAACCGCCTAGTTGGTTGTGAGGTCTTCAGGATTCCAAGAACCCCAATGGTTGGAGATAGTTGGTGATATGTGGCTTGAACTCGTTGTCAATGGCATGGATGTATTCACTCTTTGTGATTTTTCATATTCACTCAGTCCTCATGTTTTTCCATTTTGCTGTTCTTCCTTTCTTCCGCATACTTCTGCTTATTATAGTTCCTTTGAATCGCTTTTTTCTCTCTACCTTTTTGTGTTACATAGAGTGTAGCAGCATGAACTATTAGACTTCTGTGCAAAATTCTATGTCGAAAGTCAGTCAGTCAGTAAGAGCGATTGTCTCTATACGAGAAGTTACTTGGAGTAGTTCTGGTGAGAATTCGTGACCAGCGGGGTTCACTAGGTTACTCACCGGTGACATTGTAACCAGAATAGGTCCTTGGTTCGAAACCCCTGTGGTGTGGAAGCGTACTGATAAAGAGACTTAAACAGCAAGGACAAAACCAAGTGTCCTGTGCTCTGTGCTGGTTTCCAATAGTTGTCTAATTGATGTCACCTCGTGATAGAACCTGTAAGTATTTCTCTGTTTCTACTTAAGCAAAGGAATTCCGACATTATATTCCTTCGATCTAGTCAGCTGATTAGTGTGTAGACTCTTATACAAATGACTTCCCATGTTATATTATTGTCTAGTATCTGTGAGACATAGACAGAGTTACTTAGTTTTTGCATTGTTAGTATTATTAGTACTATGGTTGTCACTGTGGAAAATAGTTTCCAGCTGATAGGTAAATGTAATGTATTAATCTGTTTGCGGTCACTTAGTGTAAGTTTGCACTTGTCATGGAATGAACTAAATCAATCAAATTATGACGTTGTGTGTTTACTTTCATGACTAGAATAATTCTAGAATGTTCTTCTTAATGTAGGCAGAGTAGCTGTTTCCTGAGCAGCAACTCATACCTCTTGCGCCAAATGTAAGATGATGCTACAAGACTGACTGGACTACATTGACTCACTCCTAGCTTAGAAATAGGGAGTGAAGTGGTTAGTGGAGCATGTTGATCACTTCACTCACTTATTCGAGAAATTGCCTCAGCCAACGCCGACGGGTTGGTCGCTGACGAAATCTCAGGACGGATGCAGGAGGCTCGTTCATCATATGCCAACTCACACCATCTCTGGCTTAGTAGACTTGATATCCAACTGTCAACCAAAGGGCTAGTGTACTGCTCAGCAATTTGTTCTGTCTTCCTCCTTTATGGCTGTGAATGAGACATGGCCATTGAGAGTGGAAGACATAAAAAAACAGTCTAGCTAGCTGTCTTTGATCATAGGTGCCAGCGTTCTATCTCCGTGTTAGGTGGTATAATAGAGTGAGCAATGTTGAGATGAGGCATCGGTCGAGTGCTAGGTAGGTGGGAGGGGGAATCAATCGACGAGGCTGTGAAGTTACATCGACTGAGATGGTTAAGACATGTGTTACGCGTGCCTAGACATCACCTTCCTTGACGGTCAATGTTAGCTGACATAGGATGGATCAGGTTGTTGGAAAAGAGCTAGTAGTTGGCGGTCAAACCAAAACATGACTTCATTAGTCAATGAAATCCACAACAGTTAGTTTAAGCCACGTAGGAAGGTTGGGGTCTTCGGGATGGTAAACACCAATGGCTGGAGACAATTGGTGATATGGCCAGCTCGAAATCGTTCTCAATGGCGCAGATGCATCCACTTCTTGAGACATATAATACCCAATAAAACGATATTGTTCTTCGTTATTACTATTCCTTTTGTCTCATATCCCTGTCTACTGTCTCTGTTTTGCATTTCTTTTTACTTTCTTCCCTTGCTTTGTGTGCTACATGGATGGAGTTTGGCGACTCGAACTTCTGCATATCGGTGCAAAGTTCTATGTTGAAACCAGTCAGTCAGTCAGTCAACTCATGCCTCCACCTTTGTTAATAGGAAACAGTATATACATCCGCTTTCACCATTATGGGTATGTACTTATAGTGAAAGTGTAAAGGCTGCTGCCCATACATCATAGATGTTGATTTCTTCTTACCTTACCTGAAATATAAGGAGCAGTAGAGCATTTTGTGATCGTAGAGCGCAGGGGTGTGTGCTGTGTGTTCGACCCATCTTCATTTTCTTCGGGATAAGTTTCTAGTTTCCCATCGCAGGAGTTCCCTTTGGCTTGTCTGTTCTGGCTATCTGATCTTCACTATTGATCGAAGGCAGCTGTCAATAAAAGTTTAAAGCTGTCTTTTGATATTGCTTCTAGTGACGGGGGTGCCAAGTCTTTGGACCGCATAGAAGCCCTGATTTGACATTAGAAGTAAAAATCCTAATCTTTCACTTCAATGCTGAGGGCAGCAGACTTCCACCTGTATTTCAGATTAATGAAGGTCTGTCTTGCCTCTCCGCTCGACGCTTTGGCATCTTCATCCGTGCCGCCTGTCGTTGTAACAGTACTGCCTAGATAATAAGTGAAAAAGATGACTATTTATTTTTTGTTCCATTACTGTGCATTTCCAGTGGAACAAGATGTCCGACCTTGCATCGTGAAGTTTCAGTAGCGGTGGTGTTTCTTTTTTATAAGTTTGGCTTGCCAGCCTCACGCCAAACCTCCTCTCTTCTCCCCAGCTTACTACTGGCTAATAAACTTGGCAACTAGGAGCGGATCGACTGGGAATTGAGTTCCTAACCACGTGCGCCACTCAACCACTGTCTTGCCTTACGCCTGTGAAACTTCGCTCATCCGAACTGAAGATGCACAACGACTTCGGGTATTTGAGTTTCGCTGTCTCCGTATAACTGCTTACATCCCACTAGGTCACCATGTGAGTACTTCTGGTGTCAGATAGCAGTGTGTGTTCGGACATGGTGGAGTTCAGTATTCGTTGGGTGTAGTGACTTGGGCGCATATTCTACGAATGTCATCCCCAGTGGCTTGCGTACCGCTGGATGTTCTCTAACCCTTTGGCTGGATGAAAAAAGTGGAGAGAGTTGGTCACTCTATGACGTCGTGTCACTGTAGGATGAAGGATAATATGTATCAGACTACAGATTTAGTTGGTACATCACGACCCCTCTGATTGGGGGATCGTAGAGATAATTTGAATGTCTCTAAGAAGCAGAATCAACTAGAAACGTTTTACCATTTCCTTCTTTCTTCCTTCTCTGAAAATAACATGAAGTAATGAATGTTGAATGATTCTGACAAGTAGTCGGCTTCCTTGGTTTGCGGATGACACGTCCATCACTCACTCCTTTTTTATGCATTATTGTTGTTCGGCGCTCATCTCTTTGCGCCTTTCATGTACCGGCTTTGTGTTTTAAATAAAAAAATAAACAAAGAACCACCGACACATAGATCATTTATTACTATTATTATTATTATTATTATTACAATAATAATTAAAATGTTGTTTATTTTCTACTTCTTCATAGATTCGCGTGGAAAATAGTCTACTCCGTCAACGTGTCCGTGAATTACAACAAGAGAATCAATTATTATCCGCTTCACTGCAATTGGGTGCTGCAGCTGCAGCTGCTCATTTAAAGAATCGACAACCAAGACCTGGTACTACTACTACAAGTGTTGTTAATGGAGATGAAGTGAATAATGGTGGTGGTGTTGGCGGCAATGCAGGAGGATTAGCAACAGTTGTAGTAAATAAAACTGAAAATTGTACACTCTTAAAAGATTCCATTGAACTTAATGATTATCATCATCATCAATCATCTCCAATGGCGACTGTATTCACTGTCGATGGTAATGTTGCTGGTGTTGCTGCTTCTGTCGGCGGTATTGGCGGCGGTACTACTGCAGATTACAGACATTTTAATCAAACGAATTTAGTCCCAGCATCCTCCTCCTCCTCAACATCAAATTGTATAACTGCTGCTCAAGCTGCCTGTTTTACAACATCATTAGCATCAATCAACGCCCTGGGAGGAGGAGGATTTAATAGTGCGTCGGAAGTACTGTCATCCTCCTCACCATCCTCATCCTCATCAGTCAATTGTAGTAATAATGGTGGTACAACATTATCATCATCAAGTACAGAAATTATTAATCAAGTGATATGTCCATTAACTTTACCAAGTTTAGATCATATGACTACGCTGCGTAGTAATAGTAACAATAACAATAATAACAGTGGTAGTGTGATGGGTAGTAGTGATACTGTGAATAATCGAGTTTCTTGAATGAATTCTCTTTCTCTCTCCTATCTACTAATCATCCTTATTATCTTCTTCAGCATCACCACTATCAGCATCAATATGTTACCAGTGTATTCTCCACCTAGTCGTCCGTCCATCTTGTCACTCCTGTCTACCTGTCTGTCTCTCTCTCCCCCCCACCCACACATATACAAATCCATCTCCAGTTGATATGGAATTTTCAACTATGAATTATGTAACAAGTTCTTTTGTGTGTGTGTGTGTGCGTGTGCATATCTTTGATCAATTGTCCCCCTCTCCGCCTCATCCCCGACCCGACCCGACCTGACCTGATCTCCGAAAACAAGATCTTGACTGATTTTCAATTGATTGAAGAGTGAGTTACATTCCTATGCGCTCAGATGTTATGACATGAAGACGGAGAGAGAGCAAGAAATATAGAGAGAGTGTGTATCTACCAAGTTGACTTTATATTTTCTTCTATTGATATCATCCTGACTATCGACGACATCATCATCACCGACGTATTTGATGACAATGACGATGCTGATGCTGAGGCTGATGGTGATGATATTGACCAGTGAACTAACTAACTAACTAACTAACTTTGCGTGTGTGTGTGTATGTATATCCTATCCTTCAATATAATAAATAAAGAGGCGACAACAAATAAAGAACCAGCAGACGAAGAAGGCGAAAAGAAATCGTACCACATGTGTTTAAAATCCCATGTGCTTTCCAATCCTCGTATATATAATTTTCATAGATACGTATACACATATATATCACATGTGCTGCGCGTTTGTCTTTCTCTCATTTTCTCTCGTATATATATACAACATACATACATATATGCACATATACACTCACATAATATGTACCTGATAGGTTCAGTCTTCTTCTTCTTCTTTCTCCTGCCTTTTTTCAAATCTTACTATTCTTGGTCTTTTGCATCCAAGAAAAGCGACCATCTTTATTTTCTTTTCCATAGGAAATAATACGTTTTGTTATATATATATACGTATATAAATAGTCACCGTTTTTTTAGTGTGTGTGTGTGTGTGTGTGAATGTGTATCTCTGACCCCCCCCGCCTCTGTTTTTCGTCATCTTCTTTGAACATTGTCGGTTGTCATCACCATCATCTTGATCTATGATATATTTCCACGCATGATGTTATTTCCCCCCTCTCCCAAGCTCTGTGAGGGAGGCGGTGGGGACGCGTGCCGTCGTGTGAGGAAGTTGTTAGGCCTAAATCTCATACATACACACACACACGCGTACACTGACGTACAGAAGACATTCACCTGGTGATTTTTCATTTTCTATCCATTGTTTTCGATTTCTACGATTATTATTATTATTATCATTAATTATTATTGTTATTACTATTGTGAGTACTTTAGTATCTATCTATCTTCATCGACAACACACACCTACTATTTATGCTATTTATGGTCACTGATATTACATCTATCTGAGTATTGCATCTATATCTGTCACCCGACACACTTATTTATTTCTTCTTCTAATTGTGCCTATCTGTGATAGTGCTTTAAAACCCTAACCTGTGTTGTCAGAGAACGTTGTTAGTGCTGGTCGGTGTAGACCCCGGGTTACGTACATCAATACATACATATAATCACAAAACCTGTTTATTAATATTCAAAATATTATTATTATCATTATTGCTCCGATTCATATTGTCATTTTTCAGATAACTTTGGTTTATCTCTAACTTTCTCCTCTCTTCTCCTACATGTAGTGGGAGAACAAATACATACATGCAAACATACACATTTACACAACACCTATGAATCGAAAAATGCATCTAAAAAGCTCCCAAAATCCGTATGATAATAATGATAGTAATAATGATAATGATAGTGACGGTAAGTATTGTTATGCAATCAATACCATCTATTTGAGTAGTGAGTATTAGTAGTAGTAGTAGTGGTGGTACTAGGGTTCATATTTGAAATTTTCATCACTTGGTGCTTATTATTATTATCAGTGACATCAACATTATTGTTATTATTATTATCATTACTTAATTGTCTTGTGATTACATAAACTGCGCCTACTTTCCTTATTATTATTAATATTATTATTATTATTGTCTCTTTCACTGTCTTCAAGTTTTGTTGTTCTCATGTATGTATGACGGGCGCGCGTGCGTGTGTGGAAGGAGTGCTTGGTCATGAGTAGTGTAACACTAATTAGAAAATAATAGTACTTTGGAACTGGTTGATCTTTTTTTTAGCTTTGGGTGGTTTGTTTCATATGTAGTTTTTTGTTTTCCTTATGTCTTTCACTTGTCTTTCCACACCCCAGTTACTAGAACAAACAAGAACAGACAAAAACGTGTATTTTTCATTTTCACAAATACAGCTTGTTGTTGCATCATTAGTATTATTATTATTATTACTGTTATTATTTATTTATTATTTTTTGTGTGCATGTTGTATTATAGGGTCGAGTGGAAATTTAGTGGTATACACAAACAAACAAACAACACATCCCCACTGCTGTACTTGGCCATTGTGTGTATCTGCGCGCGCGTGTGTGTGTGTGTTCTGTTTTTCGGTGTTTTCTCTTTTTCTCTCTCTCTCTCTCTCTGGTCTATTTTTTGTCGTTAATGTTAATTTCATTCATCAATTCGTTTGTTTGTCTCTAACTAGGTATCATTTATGCTTTGGAGGGAAATAAACCTGTAGGACCACACTTCTCTGTCTGTTTTCTGATTCTCTCCTCTTTTGTGGTGTTTGTTTGCTGATTGGTTGGTTGGTTGGTTGGTTGGTTGGTTGGTTGGTTGGTTTGCCCCATTCATTACTTCGATTACATAATCAATCATACCTATATATATATATGTATGCTTACTTTGTTGGCAACAAGTGATGTGATGATAGAGTGTCGGTGAGTGAGTGAGTGAATGGGCGAGTAACTCTCATGATGTTGTGTAATTTTGTGTATTCATCATATTCTCTTTCGAGCTGTACTCTGTGTGTGTGTGTGTGTGTTATTTTCTGATTTACTACAGCTGTGTGATGAGTTTGACTTTTCTCCTCTCCTGTCCTCTTCCCCCCCCCCGTCATTTTCTGATTTAGCGTTTCTTCTGTTTCATGTCTCAAGTGTTGATTCCCCCCTCGCCCCGCCCCACTGCCTTTATTTTTCTCAAACTTATCTTTGTTGTTAGTTAAAAGGCAGGTGGCACCACCTACACAGTTGTTGTTCTTTGATTTTAGATTTTGTTTGTTGTACACTACTCCTTGTCGTCATCACATTTTCCCAATTGCCTATTATTATTGATTTGTTTGTTCCTCTATTTGCCAGTTTGTGTGTGTGTGCTTGCGTGCGTGTGTGTGTGTCACTGTTTAGCGTGCACAATTCACTTTGTTTCATAGTTTTCTCATGTTTTACATTTTTGAAAAAAACATAAACAAAAGTGTATCATCTACTGTTCTGCGACTTACTCTGTCGATAACTTTTGATGACTACTTTCTTCATAAAGCATGGATGATGAGACGGATGGCGGGGTGGGTGTGTGATTCGGTTCCCTACGCACACACATACAGACAACACACGTACATATATGCAGAGACTGTGTCCACGCGATGGTGCTGCTGGTGATGATAATGACAATGGATTGCATTTTCTAGATTTGCCGCAATTCCTGTGGAGACTAGATGAGTGATACGATTAACTTTCAGGTTATAGAAGTAGTAGTCCATGTGTGTGTGTGTGTGTCCCCCTTCTCTCATTCAGCTAACAACAACAACACCACCACCAATAATAATAACAATATCTCTTGGATTCTGTTTTGCATTCATATACCACATATGTGTACTTATAGAGTGAGTGGTATTGAGCTCTCTCTCTCTCTCTAGCGTCCACAAACACACACACGCACACACAGTATGTGATATGTTGTCGCTGTTTCCCTTCTTTCTTGTTTGCTTCAAGATTACAACTGTCGTTGTCTTCTTCTTCGTCTTCTCCTCCTCCGCCTCCTCGTTCTTTTCCTTTCACAGTATTGAATTCCTTTGTTGTTTTCTTTTGTTTGTCTGTTTGTTTGTTCGTTCGTTTTCTCTCTTTTTTTAGTTGTTTTAGACGACACTAGAAAGCGTTATGATGAGATTTTTCTTTTTTTTTCGATTTTTCAAGTTTTTTGAGTAGCCATCATTGTTTGTATGTATGTAAAAGAAAATATATATGAAATAATAATAGTAATAAAATTACTATAACTGGAAATCCCAGTGTCTCTCTCTCAGCTATATATCTAAATTTTAAAGTCTATTTATTGTAGGTTCCAGTATTGATTGTCTCAGAAATCGATTATTGGATGTGTGTGATGGCTGGCTATCCTGTCATTGTAAAACAAACTTGTCGGTCGGTCGGTCAGTTTTCGACATAGAACTTTGCAGATATGTGCGGCAGTTCAAGTCGCCACACTCCCTCCATGTAGCACACAAAGCAAGAGAAGAAATGCATAATATAGACAGTAAACAGAGATGTGAGACAAAGGAATAGCAATAACGAAGAACAAAACAGTTTCATTGGAAATCATAAGTCACAAGGAGTGGATGCATCTGCATCAGCCATTGAGAACGATTTTGAGCCATGTCACCAATTGTTTCCAACCATTGGTTTTTACCGTCCCGAGGACACCCAACCAGCCAGCCAGTCTACATCTTCCTACGTGGCTTAGACTAACTGTTGCGGATTTCATTGACTGGTGTCATGTTTTCGTTTGACCACCATGTGCTAGCTCTTTTCCAGCCTGGCCCTATATCAGCTAACATTGCCCGTCAGTTGAGGAAGGCGATGACTAGGCATACGTAGCACATGTCCTAACCATCTCAGTCGATGTAATTTCACATTCTCGTCGACTGATTTCCCTTCCTTACCTAGAACTCGACGCCTAACCTCAATATTGCTCACCTTATTATACCACCACCTGACACGAGAGATAGAACGCAGACACCTATGATCGAAGACAGCTGGCCAGCCTTTTCATGTCTTTCA